TGGCCAAAATGGAATCAGAATGAGAGAATCTTCCTAGACCATTGGAAAGGGCTGTTTGAGAGGTGATAAGAAAAACATGAATTCTCATTCTCAGACTATTACTCTTTCCAAATTTATGTTCTATATTTATTCAATATTTGACCCTACTAAAACAAGTAACAAAATTCTCATGAGTTAAGCCAAAATACAACAACAGTCCACATGGGAAAAAAAAAATACAGTAGATTTTTTCCAATTCCTTACCTTTACCTCCCTCCAGCAGTTTATTCACCAACTGTGAAGTTTGTCTATTACTCATACTCCAACAAGCTCAGAGGCACCAAAAAAAAAAAAGGATAGAAGGTGTTTCCATAGCAAGTACTGCAGAAAACAGTTTATTAGTTGAGTGTCTAGATATGGCCAAAGAGTCTAGTTTATTCTATGTTAGAAAAGTAGGCATTATTTGACCAGAAATATCAACTGTCACTAAATTAGCAATAGTAGAAAACATCAGCTGAATTACCATGGGAAACAGAAGAAAGGATGTATTAGCATCTTTGCTAAGTGTTGTGTATTTGTAATTGGGAAGTAAGAGTTTGTTTGCTTGTTTTTGCTAAGCTTACAAACGTCATTCTTCTCCTTTTAACATCGTGTTTTAATTCAGTAAGTAGAAAGAAAGGAAGTAGAAAGACCAATAGAAAGTTGGTCTTTGAGCCCCCTTGGTACTGAGACTGCTGACCATCTGCATAGCTGTCCAGCCAGCCGAATGGCCTGAGGAATCAGGGTGGGTGCCTTAATTGGCCTGTCTACAGCAGCATTCACGTCTCTGAAAAAGATTCAGTTCCCTGAGACAGTGTCCGGCTGATTTGTCAAAGACACCTTGACACCTGGCCTCTTAGTACGGGCTGTTCCGCAGTCGTAGCGCGTTGCTGCTTGCCCTTAAGTCAAATCAGGGGGCTGCCTTCTGCTAAGGAGGTAAATGGTTTCCTAAACCAAAACTGCAATGGCCTTTCCCAAGTCTCATCCCTTGAGACACAAGCATCTCCCGCTGGTAAGCTCCTCGTGCAGGCAGTCCTCAGACAGTCACCAGCCCACACGCTGCTTCTTGAAGCTGCTTCAGAAGGCCAGAAGCTGCTCCCTGGGGCTTCGTGCTGTGGGGCAAGGATCACACTGGCCTCACACCCAAGACTTCCTCCCAGCCTTTCCCAGTTTCCAGGGCCACTTGTTACTTCTCTGAGTAATTCTCTTACTTCCCAGGGCTTAGTAGGATCTGCAAATACGCTTTGTGGTGTGGGATTTTTTTGTTTGGTTTCGCTTTTTGCCTCTTGGGCTTCTCCCAACCTATTCCAAATCCCCGTGGGCCACACGCTTTCTGAGCCTGCTTCTCTAGCTGCTTTGTGGGAGAACCAGAGCTCCTTCAAGCTTCAGCTCTCAGTACTGTTCCTTGCACAATGCCAGACCAAGCACCTTGCCAAGCTCCTTTCAGCAGCACCCAGCAGAAGGCCTCTGCCTTGCACCAGCCTGCGACCAAGAACACCCTCGTTCTTGGGCAAATGAAGCTGAGAGACATCATTGCATCCAAGGCCCTGGAGTAAAAAATCTAAATTAATTGATGCATGCAGATTTATTCTGTTAATATCATGAGATGCTATAAATCCCTACCTACCGGTGTAGAAAAACTGCCTGATGCGTTATTGTATAATTGGATTCCATGATTTATTTCATGCTGTATGAAACAAAAAGCATAGGTTGGCTTCAGTTCTGACTTATGTTCTCATAATCCTAGAAAAAATTGTTTGGCTGCAATGAAATGACTCTGGAGTTGCATAGAGTTATAAAATCAGCTGTAAGCTTTACATGTGGAAAGGAAGGCAGAGGGAAGTGCTGCATTCAGCACTCAGGGCTTTTGCCTGTCTTTTGCATATCTACTAGAACTTTTTCATACTGCTTGGTTTCTTTCTGTCTTTTTTTTTAATAGAATTTACTCGTAGAAATTACTACACCTTAAAATCTCATTGGGACTCAGGACAAATTGCTTGCCAATACTGTGACTAGTAGTATTTTATGTCTTGTTGCTGAAAAAAAAATGTTTCTTCTGTTACATCAAAATCTCAGGCTCACTAGCAGAATTTGACTGGAAGAGAAGGATTGAAAAGTCTTGAACAATAAATTCATCACCATTCTTTTGTCTGAAATCAGAAACACATGATTTTTCTTGTATCTATCTGACAGAAGAGGAATATGAAAATCAAGCTTTTATTTATTTATTTTTTTTTTTTAATTAAATCAAGGATTTGAACTGGCTTGCATTTGGTCGTTGCACCAGTGGAACATTAGGGACATTGTGTTATTGGCACATTTACCTGTCCCTTCAAATGCTCAGCCACACTCCTGAACCTGTAGACAAAAGAAATCCTGTGATATTCCACAGGAAAGCTGAAGGCTTGTTAGTATTGATATCCTATGGTCCATTCATTTAACGTATTATAAGGAGTCTTCTAAAAGTACTGCTAGATCTCCATATGGATACAAAATTTTAAAAACTTATTTGCTGGAATAAACTAGTTGAGTAAGTGCTATTGAGCACCTGGCAGTTCATTTTTAGTAGATTTTTCATCCAGCATCTGTCAGTGCATTGCCCAAACTGAACCAGGTTTTCGAAGCTGTGTGTCAGGTAGCAGCCTCCAGGCCTGTATACTGCTGCTTCAGTTTTCATTACCCAGCAAATATGCTGGAAACAGTTATACCCAGAAAGACCAATGCTATTTTCAGTCCTTGAAGACACGATATTAAAAGACAGCTTTCTGTTTGCATTGCTAGTTTATTCTTAAACTATTTTAGCAATCAATTCTGAGACAATACCCTCAGTGAAGCTGGAGTTAGGGCCTTTGTTAACTATCCTAGTTAACACAAGTGATTATGTTTTTTTCCTAACATCTACGTAGAAAATGGGGTTTGCATTAGGTAAGGCTTTGCCCCTAAAATTTAACAGTTTTGTTCTGATAATTTCTTCTATTTTCTTATTGAAAAGGAAAAAAGAGCAAGAGCAAGAGAGCATGGAAGCAGGGCCTCTCTTCCTTTGGAGTTCTACTCCTGCTGCTTTTTCCCTATATGTAGTCACAGTATTCTGAGTGTCACATCATAACATCCTCTGCAGCTGCTAGTTTGATGTCACAGAAGATTATGACTTCAGGTGAAAGACTAAGCACCAGGAACAGATGTACAGTAAGAAAAGACACACAAATAGGCCCTAATTAAAAAATAAAATAATAAAAAAAAAAAGTAGAAGAAGAAATTAAAAAATAGAGCATGTAGAACTCTTTTTTTCCCCTTCCTTGGGCTACTGCAAATTAATTTATCTTTAAATATATATATATATATATATTCTCCATAAAATACTGGTCCAGTCTAAGCAATATTTTGGTCACAAAGATTGGAACCAAATGCAATAAAGGTGAAGCACTTCAGTGCAAATAGCAGTATAAAATTTAAATAATTTGATCATTACACCCAATTGAAGAGGAAAATAATTTTAAAATTAATGCTTAAAATAAAAGTAATATTTTCCGTGTCACCCCAAAGCTACTCTCCAGGGAGCTTGGTTTATGCAGATCAGGGACCTTTATCTAACACATGGTGCTTTCCCTCACCAAGTTGCACTGCTTAACCCAGTGCAACTATTTATGCCAATAAACTTTTGGAGCACATGAACTGGAGAAGAGAGGATTCAGGATTCAGGCAAGACGAAACCAAAACATTTCAGAAAACAAATCCTAAAATTTAAAGCCCAAAAGATGATTTTTAAGAAATGCTGTCAAATAGTTTTCTAGCTGATTATCTGAGATATAGGTGTATTTTTGAAGCCTACATTTACAGTGAATATTATAATAGCTTGCTAATTTGTGATTTTTGGTACTTTTTAAAAGTTAAATCTATTTTCTGTGTTTCAAGTCTGCAAAACAATATGAGAGAAATGCCCTTATATTTGAAATACTATTGTGAATCATAAATTTTGGATTTCAGAATGGAGATATGGTAACAAAGATTTGGGAAATAACTGTTTGGAAAGTAATGGCACTGTGGCCATTCATGATGTAAAGGTGTAAGAGGCAAAGGTAATATGGAGTATTCATATCTTACCTTATTTTGTGAGGAAAAAAACGAACAAGCTTTCACACAACCTTTCAGTACATAACGACACTGAACATAATTTTCTGTGCTTTTACTTAATTTAATAAATTTAATATTAAAATAGGCCAATACAAAAGCAGCAAGCTATTTAGGGTTTAGATAAAAGAGCATTTAGATGAGCTATTTGCAAAAATACTTTCTGATAGCTGTCTGTATTATGGCAGAGGCCTTTGCTTGATGTCACTGTGTTTACAGAAATAATTGCCTCAGAGTAGTGACAAACATCAAAGTACCGGTGTGTGTATTTTAGAAATAACTCATTAGCTGTATATAGCTCATGGTTTACATGTTTTCATGTTTTAAGCTGTAGGTTTGTTTATGGTGTGTTTTTTTTTTTTTTTTTTCCTGTTATCTTTTAGTATCCAGTAGTTAGTTTTAAGGTTTAGTAAACCAGGGAAGAAAGCTCAAGGGAAAATGATGCAAACACATCTTGGGAAAAGCAAATTGAAGCTATTCAAAATTCATGACATTATAGTTCTGGGAGTACAAGTTCAGACTCTCAAACTGCATCTGAATTGCTGCAGCTCTGTCAGATACCTGAAAGCATGGTAATGCATAGGAAAACAATTTCTAACATAACGTTTTATTTTAGTTACACATATTGATCATACCGTATCTGTATGGCAACATCTCTTCATATTTTTCTTAAGGGTCTTTCATTCTTGGACAAAGAATCAGACAAAAAAAAAACCAGACAAATCGCATGAGCAGAGGGTGGGCACAGAAGATAAACATACTTTGCAGTGTGCAAACAAAGACATGATCAGACTGAAGAGATGGCTGCACCAGCTCCTCTCACCTTGGAAAAGTTTGTTGTTTTTTTTTTTTTGCAGCAAATGAAGGGAGAACTCCTCTAGGCCCTAATTTATATCAGGTACCCCACTGACAAACAGTCCCAGCCTGGAGGAGAGCCAAGCATGGGTCCTGAAGAAACCAAACACCAGTGAGGAAAGGTTGAGATTCTTTAGAGAAATAGGCTTTAGGCTGCCACATCTTCCTGGGTGATATTCAAGAGGAACAGGTGGGCAAGACTCTTTCTCCTGCCCCTATGGCTGAGTTTTAAAGATTCCCCTAGTGACACATTAAAAATAATTTGCTCTTTGGCTGGGGCATCCCTTAGATCACTTGTAACTGGGCTGTGGCAAAATTTGACAAGAGTGTGCATGTGAGCAATCACAGTCATTTGATAATCCGTACTAAAACCCATTTTTGCATAAAACTGAGCAACTAAGGATGAGAAAAAAAAAGACTGTATTAATTCTTAGAGATAGGGTTGGACTAAATAACACTGGGGAAATAATAACTTATTCAATAATAAATCTCACTATACATTTCTTTGTAGGAAAAAACATCCCTCTGGTCGCCTGGCTTGTTGTCATTCTGGCATCTTTAAATGGCATCATGCGTACTTAAAAAAAATAATACAACAGCATTGCCCTTTGTGAGCTGTAGAGAAACATTTTTAAGCAGAAATGTGAATGCTTATTAACTGTTCAAACGTTGATCTCATAGGAATAGCAAATGTTTATTTTAAAAGGTCACAGGAAAAAAAAAAAACTTCAACACAGCTTCTGGGAGGCTGGAAGCACTTTAAGTGTGGGAGTTCATAGAGCTGCTGAACTGCAAGGTAATAGTTGGACTGAGAACAAGACACAGCAACATGCTGTGGTCTTGTTTTGACTGTAAATGATTTGGAACTCGGTGAGTATTCTTGTGTGCAAAATCTGTTTCTTAGCGACAGAGCAGGGAGAAGCGAGTCCGTAATAAGTGCGTGTAGCACTCTGAATCAGAAATACACTTTTTGCTTGGGGATGCAATGGGGTGTCGTAGCCTGAGCGTGGAGTGGGTGGTCAGGACCTTCAGAACCTTCCTCCTACACCTGGTGCAGGATTCTTTGGGGCCCTGCACTAACGAGCTGAGTTAATCCTCTTGGGCACATGAAGGCAGCACCAGGAGGTCCTAATTATAGTGCCAGCCCAGGTCTGCTCTTCACCCAGCTGCCTTGGGCAAAAAAGCAACTACACAGGGTGAGCTCTAACATGGGAAAGAGGTACAGCAACAAACTCAAAAAAGGTCTCTCTCCTACTTTAATCTATCAGCTTATGCAGTCCTGTCAAAGACTGGCACTTACATCCTGCCACCTACCTGGGAGGAATCCTGAAGTTCATTTTATCCTAATTTTTGAGTACTCTATACAAACAGACTGTTTCTTGGAGTGAGATTTGTTGCTGAATCTTTCCTCCCTAGTTTTGCTGTTGGTACAGTAGAAGCTGATTATCTACCTAATAAAAATATTTTGTGGGTAAAAGTGTCATACGCCAGAAGCGAGAGAGTACCATGTACTTAAAACATAGCAGTTCTTGATCTACACCTTCTTTGACAAACCAGAGAGAGAATGGAAATAAAAGGATGTGTGAGTTCAGATCTTCAGTTGTTCTAAGGTATTACCACACAATTATTTTCAGTGGAGTTGTGCCAAATTCCACCCAGGTAAGGAACTTGGCTTGTAACTGTTCTTTTTTTGTGTGTTTTTATTTATTTATTTATAACCTTTGTTTCCAAACCCTTTGCATTATTTGTTGTTTACATATTTTATATGCAGTTCCATACCGAGACATGGAAACTAGCTCCACAGCTGATTCTTATCTCAAGCTTAATTTTATCATGGTTTTAGTTTGTTGACTTTAATTCCATTATAATAATTTGAGAATGATGTTTGGTCTATTTAATCCAGAATCGGTGATTCTCTTTTGTTTTGACTCACAAAAGAGGTGAGTCAAATACAAAATCGTGTAATTGCAGAACTCTCGTAATCAAAAAAAAAAAAGGTCTACATAAAGAAACATAAAACAGTATGCTGGAATATTAAAGGAAAGTTTATTTTTTCTCTACTGATTTGATAAACATAAGTGCTTAATCTGAACAACTGTATTATCTTACTATATTATGCTGTAGAGTTTTATTTCATTTCAGCATTATGCCTAAGTTTATCACTGCATCAAGGATGAGAGAGGTTTATTTTTTTCATGTTTCTCCCTTTTCCACACTCCATCCTTGACACAGAAGTTTCTACCTTGAATTTAGTAGAATCAGAATAGCTTGGGTTGGAAGGGACCTTAAAGATCAAAGTTCCAATTTGTTTGGCCATAAATAGATTCCAGTGTCTAATTTCTCAAACTGAAATATACATACCTGGAGTGAATCACATTCCTCTAATGTCCTGAGCAGGTCAGAGGTGGAGACAGTCATGGCAATGACATTTTGCCTCTTCTGCTTGTCTAATTTCACGGTTGTTCAGCAAAATGCTTGTGACTGTGGTAATATAATAGTTAAGATCCACCAAGAATTTCCCTTCCAGCTCCACTCAGCAAATTATCTGAAGTCCCTGCATATACCCCTTTATACGCACTATAGTTATCTCTCTCTCCCTAACTCAAGGGGTGTAAGAGGTATATGTATTGACGAGAATTGGAAGATTTAGAAACTTATTTTTACAGAGCTCTGGAACGCTTCTTAGTGGAAGATTGTATCATAAATGAGGGTAACCTTGGTTTTCATACTGAATGTGTTGTAGAATTAGGAAACCTCAGTATCTCAACCCCCAAGCATGATGGGGAGAGAAGAGCATGATAAGAGTGCTGAATACCAAAGGAAAGAGGAGATCTGTTGTTGGGCCGTTAAGAAATGGAGGGGAGGGTGTTGGTTTTTGTTGTTTGTTTGTTTTTTTTTTTCCCCTCTAACTTTGCCTTTAGTGATTTTTTTTTTTCCACTTAAGATCTTGTTTTCATCCAGATTTTTGAGTTGGTTCCAATTGTAACTCACTTGGAAAGCTCTCCTTTTGGAAGCCGTGCAATTAAGGTTATTGACTGTTGTCTATTGCTGACTGCCTGCTGGGAAAGGAAGCGGTATTGTTGATTACTGTAATAAAGGCCAATTTTTCCTTTATTCATACACTGATAAATCAAATTGGATTTGTTGTACAGAGTTCCATACAGAGATTATGGTGTGTTATTTATGAAACCTCAGAACACTGTAGTCTGTTGCTGATGCAAAGTGAATTTTTCTTTTAGCCGTACAAAAAGGATCTGATCATGGTATTAAATTCCAGGTATAGAAGTACGAAGAACATTCTGTGTGGCAGACTGAGTGCATGAACACAGTTTGTCACTGAGAACTAGTACCTCTGGTCTACTTTGTCCGGTTTTTTCCCCATTTCCCATTGCTCATGGTGTACGCCCAAATATTCTCTATATTTTGATTTCTCAATCTGCATAACAGTAAGAGCAATTTACCTGACCCACAAAGCCATAAGGATGTATGGACTAGGCATTGCAAAATGCTCAGCGCCTTCCTCTGTGTAATCCAATGTGAATCAGAATATTATTTATCAGCTTCAGGGGCTCTGCCTCAGACTAAACTTCTTTACAAAGGTATTAGTGCCAAGTGGTTAATCCATTTTGTTGTAGATGTTTTCACTTTCCTAGCTCTGTTGCACTAAAAGCTGGCCCTTGAGCATCTCTACAGATGAATTCGACAGCACTGGAGAAATTATTTCACTGTTTAAAGAACTTGCTTTGTATAATTACTGTCATGTTTGGGACTCTATGGTGGGTTTTGGTTTCATTTTTTTTTAATGTAACTCTTTGTTTTACAGATGAGGGCAGGAACGCAGTTGACCATGCAGGTGGTGCACATATTGTAGTAGACCATATAAGGTCACTGTGCAATAAGACAGATCCAGCCAGTGAGAAGCTCTTGACTGTCTTTTGTGGCATGCTGATGAACTATAGCAATGAGAATGGTAAACAACACCAAAAACTTGCTTTATGTCTACCAGGAGAACAACCCCATCAAAAGAGGGGGAAAAAAAAGATAAACGTTAAACTGTAGGTTTATGTTGTGGAAACTAACACTAAGTTATTTAAAAAGATCAAGTAACTCCGTTCACATATACAATTTTCCATTTCAGTAAAGTCATGTTCCAAAAATACTGTCTTCCTGAGGCAAATCCATATAGCAAATCACATAAAGATTTAAAGTCAACATTTAGAATTTACTTGTGTCTGAAAGCAATACAGATTTGTAGAAGTAAACTAGATGGTTACATTAAGTCCTCTTTTTCATTTAGTATCAAGTGACCCTATAATACTGATTTGTCCCAGGCATTCTTTTGTTGAAATTTGGAGTAAATACGCTAAACAGTTCATTTTTCTCCGTGAGAAATGTATACAAAACTATGTTACTTTCATCTAATATAAATGGGGAATAATTTATGTTTATGTCCAACAGTGTTCTGTGCCTACAAACTGTAAGTGGATGTTCTTTATCACATTAAGTGGAGGTGTTTAGGGCCTGGGACAAAAATGCAAGACGGTAGCTTAAGTGAGAAATCCTTGACCACTGAGGCTAAGAAAACACTGTTCTACAGTACTTGTACAAATGTACTGCTATTTTAGTACCTAGCTTGCTTCTGCACGCAAGTGTGGTAATATGCCAAGGCACATTTTATAGCATTCACATAGTTCCAGGTTTTTCTAAATTGGAATTTCTGAGAAAATGGGGAGAAATGTAGAAAGCTGAATAGAGGCTGTTCTCCCAACTTGAAATGGCACAGATTGCAAATGTAGTTAGCTAATCACATTGTTTCTTCGATCATGCCCATTTCCTAATTTGTAGTCTTTTATCTTAGGAAGAAATAGCTTCTGTATTAGCTACTTACCATTGTAACTTATCAGTTCCTGTGATAAATCCTGTGATCACTTTCCAAACCTGTGTCTTCCAAACTCTTCTGCTTTTGAGGAAGGTCCTTAGGTTTAATTATTTTTTTTTTGACCTTTATAAATTTTTTAATCTACTTTGCCATCTCTTCTGGTATAGCTTGTGTGTTTTCTGCGCCATCTCTCCAGAGCTCTCAGCTCCTAGTGTTACTTTTCTGCCTCCAAATATCACTGCTGTATATGTCTCATTTCTTTCTCTTGTTCTTGCATTCTTTTTCTCTCCTCTTTTCCTAGTACTATCCAGGAATACTTGTTTACAGTACTTCTGCCTTCTTCACCAAATAACAACTTTCTAGCTCCTTTATTTCATATGGTTTTCAGGAACTTTTTTGCTTGATGTCTGTGTGTCACATTTTTTCTGAATTTTATAGAATTAACTCCATATTTTCTGTATTTGTTAAATTTTTTGGAGCAAATAGATTTTCCCACCTATAAGCTGCCACAATCCTCTGCATTAAGACTAATAAGCATCCAGTATATTTGGTAGCACAAGACAGACCAGTCCCAAAGAGCTGTATAGAGATGCTGCATCAATTTTGCTTCAGTGGCCAAGCTCCTAGCAAATCTTCCCTAGATAAACTAAAGATAAATCTCCAAGATAACAGTTGAACTGTTAAAAACATTGAGTAAATGAATTATCCCATCTAGTAAGATAGCTTATTCTGATGCAATCAATAAAGCAGTTCTATAGATCAGTGTCAACTAGGAGGATTCACTAGCTGCTCTCTACTCTGCTAAATGACATCTTCTCACCTCACACGAACTAACAAACTGATGCAATGCTCGCAGGATCTACTGAAGTGGTGTCAGAAGTGAGAAACAATCCCAGCTCCTGATTCTGGCTGCAGACCACTGCTCTGTCCCACCACCACGTCAGGGAGGAGTGCTGGGGATTTTCCAAATCCTCACCTTCGGTCCATGTACCTGGTGGTCTCTGTAAAGGACCTTTCTGTAGGCACCCAGTACCCATGGCTATGTGGTCCTGTAGTTCTGCTGTGGCCAGTGAGTCTGCCCACCAGCTGTGGCAACCACTGAATTAAGGTCTGAATTAAACAAACAAACAAGCAAAAAGATAGAGTTTTAAGAAGAAAACTCGGGAGCACGTGCGTGGTGAGACAGGTAGTTGGCCTGCCTGGCCAGATTTGTTTTAAGAGCCATAGGTACAGCTGTAGCACGGTTGTGAACTGCTCTGAAAATACTACCTGCAAACCATATTATGTGTTCAGTACGACAGTCTGTGTCAAATGTAAGCCCGAGAAAAGCGCTTACTTCCACGTATCGCAGCATCAGGTGGATCATATGCTGAGTAAATGCAGTTCTCTACTGACCTGTTAAAGAAGCAAACTCAGGTTGCCCTGACAGTGAATTGTATGCACAGATTATCAAATACTGGTTTCAGGATTTACGTGCAAAAACTCAATTCCATGTTACTTACAAAGAAGATAAACACTGTATTGGTTTTATTGAGAGATGAGAAGTATGAGATTGCATCCTAGAGCCCCAGATTGCTTTGCCTGTAGTTATGGAAACAAATTGGGCAAAAATAAAAAAGAATACTGGAAGCATGAGAAGGAAGTGTTTCAGTCTTTGAAACAGCACTTCTACCTTCTGTTTTATTGTTTCTCTAATCTTTCCCTGCTTAGCATGCTATGAAACAAAGTTGCAGGTGGGGACTTTGAAGATTCCTTTACTGCTTTTAATGACTCACACTCTTTCAAGTTGCACTAGCTATCCCCATAAGGATGATTACAGTGTATTTGGTTTAGTTGTGTTTAATTATCTGTGAACACCCTAATATTTTCTAATTCTTAGCATTTTATGAGCAAAGGGCATATAAATTGTTTATTTGATTCTAAACAGCTCACTATTCTCAGTCTACTAATTGCCCTCTTTTTCAAGTAGTGACTACTTTATTTTTAATAGCTATAAACTACTTTTTTTTTTTTTTTTTTTAACATTAGAGACTCATTCTAGAGTGCTTCGTGTTTTTGATTTAGCACAGGGCATTTACCACACGTGAATTTTACAAAAATGGCAACTAAAGCACAGCTACAGGTAGTATTTTCTTTTCCTAACCAGAGCAAATTAGCATTCCTGTATCTTGTGCTAGTTCTGGACGCTCAGCTTGCAATTGTAACTCCATTCATAACGTTGTTGTCTAAGCTTTAAAACTGAGATTTCCTTTGTAAGGTTCTTGTGCCATCTGCTCATGTTCTGGAATTATTTTTGCCTGCTGTCTCTCAATCCTTTTGCTTCCCTGGTATCTTATCATTTCATTAGGTGCTACAATGTTAACAGAACAAACTTGGCTTTAGCATCTCTTCCTGTTCTTTTAAGCTTTTAAAAAAAAAAAAAAGTGTTGATTTTTAATTGCATTGCTAGAAATCAAAGGAATATTTTATGGGATGCATCCCTTTGTCTTCAGTCTAGGATTATCTTGACCCCGTCTGTCTTAATCGTATTTTAGTGCCTGTTTTCAGTCAGACTCAAATAGCTCATCCCTGCTTTCCATTATTAGTTCATAAAATGCCAAGTTGCAGGTATGGCTAGGAATGAGACAAGCATGTTTGTGAACGTCTTTGCTTGTGGCATAATTTCTGTAAAGAAGCAAGTCTTGACAAAAGCCTGTAGCAACTATTTCTTTGTCAAGCCATGCAAACTTTCTTTAGGGAACAGAGCAACTGTGCTTTAAAACAGCTGTTTTGGCACCCTTTGATGTGATCAGTGTGTTGTTATACTTCTCCCATTCTGAAGACATATTGGTACGTACAGTCTCTATGTAGCTACGAATCTGCTGAAGAGCAAGAGACAAAGCAGGCTTGGATAAAGAGTGAAAAACTAATAACTAATAAAACTAATAATCACATGCAAATAGTCACGTAAAAGAGCTAGTGACATGAGTAGTTATTCTGCAGATCTCATAATCCTGTGACCTAAGACTATTTGCAAGTTAATGGGATCAGTCTGTAAGGTAGCTAATTGTCTCTCTTGAGACTTACAAAACAAATCACAAAAGCATTTTTAAATGGATGGAAGAACTAGGTCAATTGGATTCTTAGGTAGTCAAGTTGTAGATCAGAAGTCAACTGGACACAGTATGCATGTATATGTATTTACGTATGAATATATAAAGAAAAAGTCTGTTTATAGATTACTTTCTCATCTCATTTCATATTAAACTTTAGTCTGTCAAAGTTGTCTTTTTTCATTCAGTGCCTTTGTAAAATGTAAAATTACGATGTTAAATCATACAACTGCCAAGCTTTTCTTATCCTCACAAAACTCTTAGTGACTGGAATGAGTGTTGGGGACTGTCTTGTATTGTTTACCATCTGCAGAAGCTACACAAGGACTGAAAGGGAGATTTATGGTACCATGATCATGGTCTAATAGCAGTATTTCAACGTTTCCTTCTAAGACTTACCTTTGCTAATTTTCATGCTTGCCGTGGTTTTTGTTTCATTTACATCACAGCTAAAAATGTTTAGCATGCTTTCAAGTCCTAAATATACTTAAATGCAAAGTAACGTAAAGCATGTAAAAGCAGATAAAAAGTATGTTTGTTTTTTCTTAATGATAGTGAGGTATGTTATATGATGATTTAACATAGATGTGGGGGTCACAAGCAGTTGTGTTTTGTTTTTTTTTTTTTTTAGGGTATGAATTTATGTCACCAATTTGTAGAAAACATCAGTGATATAATCACTGTTACTGATAAAACACAAAATGACTAGCTGTTTTCTGAAATTCTGTCCAAAATCAAACAGCCTAAATCAGAATTTTGAATTCAAATGCCCCCAATAAAGTTCTCAATTTGGGATATTCTCCTCAGATCTTACTCTTTGGAGTTTCCATGTGTGTCACCGAAGGACATGGAGCCATTGAAATTCAAGTTTTAGGTAGGTAATTATTTGTGCTGGCGCATGTATTGATTGCCTTTTATCTACCTGTATATGCATCTGTGCAGCATCACTATCAGTGCTTTTCAGCCCCGAGAGAACATGGAGGTGTCTAACTAGTGCAACATTTGATAGCAGCACAAAATTTGAGAGTTTCTTTTCTAGTTTTAAGTCAGAAATTCAGAAGAGGCATTCGGTTTTTCATGCTTCCCATTCAGTATGCACCAATTTCTGCTTAGGAAGCTGGTAGGAGTGTTGTTTCATCCTGAGACGTGATGTTGCTGGGCCTCGTGGTTTCATTTAGCCCTGCATCAGGCAACTTCTTGTAGGATGGATTCATATTTCCCCCGAGACTGTCTCCTGCTCTAATAGGACCCCAGCACTTCATGCAGTGAAGGGTTGACATTACGCAGTTATTCCAGGTTACCCAGGCCGTGCTCTTTCACAGGAGAGCCTGAGAGCTGCTGCTGGTCCCTGTTCTGCAGGCTGAACCATTCCAATGTTTTTCATTTCTCCAAACTAAAAAGTGCTGCAGGTCTCTGTACCGGTGAGAAGCCTATTGCTTTTCTCCCCAAACTTCATGCTGAACTCATTTACCTCAGGGCATCACATAGGGGCAAAATTCAGATGAGAGAATCTTTTTGTTAAAGATGTCTACAATTTCCCCCTAGCATCACTTTCCTTTTTTTTTTTTTTTTTCTTTAAGCAATATGAAAGAAAATATTTCATCAGGAAAATGCAGTTTTGCAAGTTTACCCTTTAATAGAATTTGCTCTTGCATTTAATAGAGAAAGAGCCTCCTATTGGTGATAATGACAGATATAAAAAACAAATTCAGAATTTGTACGGGAAGCCCAGGCTTAATTATGGCAAATAGCTGCTGGCGGCCTTACATTTTTGAAGGTTTTGCCTCCTGTGCAGCTTTGTGACTCACAGGGTTGTCCTATCTTTGTCAGAGGAGAAAATACGTCCTGCTTACTGCAGCTAAGGCATCGATACAGTGCCTGGATTTTCCCTTGCTGACGATTCTTTATATCCCATTCCTGCACTAGGCCATTCCTGTGCTCAGGTACACTCCTACACCAGGGAAATAACTCTGGTATGGAGTCAGATGCAACATCTGACTTTTAAACCAGTGCAATTACTCTTTTGTGGTATATTTTCTTCTTCCTTTTTTCCTGTTAGGGATTTCTAGAGTCCCTTAAAGCAATGCACTCTTGAACAATATATCCTTCCATTTAGCTCTTAAGATTCCTTTTTTTCTTTCAGGGTTGGATATAGTTTCCCTTTTTCCACTCATCTTTTCCTCCAGACTTTTTGTATCTATTGTGTAAAGAGAAAGACAGCAGAAAAAAGCACTGCTCGAAGTACAGAGTTTGTGTTTCTGGTGTCAGATTGCTTTGCCAAGTGGAGCCCATAGAGATTACTCAAAGAGATTCTCTCTTTGTCCATTAGAGTTGGATGAAGTGATTTTAGAGTGACTAAAGGCATAGTCTAGTAACAAAACAACTTCTTTCCACATAATTTTCTATGGCATTTGTGGTTTGTGTCTTTGTTCTCCTACTCTCCATGACTACCAATTTTCCTTCAGCATTTTTAAGTGTCTGCAGGGGACAATCACAAATCAAGGAGAAAAACAGATTATTTACCAGTAACTTGAGTTCTCCTACACAATCATTTTCTCCAAAGAACCATTCCAGCTCCCCACCCTCGCCCCCCCCCCAAGTTTCTCTATTAAGACGTAGATGTTTCAGTTTGGGACGAAGTAGGAGGGCATTGTAGTGACTCACACGTCTGCTGGAGGTAAAATGGCATTCAATGCATGCGCTAGTGCAATTTGTACTTACCTGAAATTTGACAACTTCAACAGCTCTTTGATGTCTGAGATGGTGTTCTCATAAATCTCTCTAAAGACCATGAATCTGTGGAAGAGGTAATACCCCCAGCCCACCCTCCCACCCCCCAAAAAAAAGGAAAATTCAGTTACTGGTAAGTAATACAGTTTTATTAAAGACATCAAGCCATAAGGATTCCTGTTCATCCCCAATAACCTGTAATAACTGCAACATTTACTTATTTAGTGCATCAAATTGATGATTATTCAAAAAACATTTTTACTAAATATAAATGAACTAAACATTCCAAAATCTTTTCATAATTTTAATTACATGAAAATTTGAAATGCATTCGCCAGAATCTTGAAGGCAAAGAGGTTTCTGAGAGCATGAGATGATACTAAATCCTCTAGACTTCAGTTGTAAGATATTTTTATCTCCCTATAAAAATTGCAATTTCTATGGCTCTGATTCCACAGATGCTAAAAACTTCAACTGATTTCAGCTGCTCAGAATGAATTCCTTAAATAATAATAATAATAATAATTCCCCCTGTAGGGCTTGATCCAAAGCTAAATGAAGTAATAGAATTCTTTTGAATTCACTGGGCTTTGGATCCTTATCTTTTGAGTCTATAACATTTAAACGTAGCTAAAGTGCTTAGAAATAAAGGAAGAAAGATGCTTAGGAAAATTACTTAACATCTGGTGTGTTCATGTCTGCTTCATTCTATTCAACTGTGAAACAATGTTTTTCTTCTTTGCTATGTTATAGGTAAAATGTGTAAGAGAAAATATGGTTATAAATACTCCTTTAAAACAATCATGTTTCTGCCTAACTATCAAAGCACCTTTCTATTTGCAGACATCTAGGAGCAATAACTTTCTTACTTGTAAATACTATAAACTTTCATCCTATGCAAGAAATTATCAGAATGGCTTCTAAGGACTTTTCTTAAACCTTCCATTTTTTTTGTCTTTATTAAACTTTCTTTTTTCTCAAGCTCCTCATAATCTACATTGTGACTTCCTGTGTTTATAAAACTTTTCATGTTTATTTCAGTACCAGTTTATATTCATTCTACTTTTAATTTTCCAGTTTTGATCTTTAAGAGATAACAGTATATAGAACCACGCTCTCAGATAAATAAGTTTTTCACTGATGTAGTTTTGTTTGATTTCAGTCAGCTAGTCTCAGTCAGCTAAGAACCAAACCCAACATATATTAGGAACCACAAAAGGACCAGTAGCTGCATAATTCACAATACCTAACCACCAGAGCAGGAGGGAATATTTCTGGGAAGGTGTCCCATTGCCTGGGGAAGGGGGAATTCTGAGTCCATATCCCATGTCTGGACCAGATCCTAGTGTAGAGGAGACAGCCATTTTAATGCTGCTTAGGCTAGAAGTTGCTTTGTGTGAAAAATGCTTTTTTGATTTAAAGAATACTACTACAAACAGAAATACTAACTCATTGTTATACTTTCTTTTTATGTAGATACCCTGCAGTCGCAGCTTATCAATATGGGTGTTATTCCTACGTTAGTGAAATTGTTGGGTATTCATTGCCAAAATGCAGCTCTGACAGAGATGTGCCTTGTTGCTTTTGGCAATTTAGCAGAACTTGGTAAGTCCGCAATATTAATCTCAAATTTACATCCAATTTTCTTAAAGTTAAATATTAAGAATAACAAAAGTCTTGCACTGGTGCTTCTTCCATTCCTTCTGATACATTCAAAATTTAAAGCGAGCAATTTCTGCTTATCTCTAAAACCCATAGTTGTCTCTTTCCTTCAATAACTTAAATTTATTTGGGTACTTAGTACACCTTATGTTTTATGTTAATGTTCTTCAATGCAACTGGGCACATTTTAAATCACCAATAGTATTTCCTGAGCAGTATTTCCTACTTACAGTGAATTATTTATTAATAATATAAATAATATATCCTGGTGCAGCTCCACAACGTTGTATCAGGATTAAATTGGGCTCATGGAAATCATTGAATGAAACCGAGACAGGCACAGTTTGTAAATCTGCCTGTACAATATTCTTTTAGGTGTTGCCTTTTAACATGTAGTAAACTAAATACTTGCATATATAAATCATGAACAGTGCCAAGCTAGAGATGATATTTTTAAAAAGTTTATTACAACTTCATTTAAATTGAAGTTTGTGATCATGCTTTGATCCAGAGCCTTTGCAATTGTATTGATTTACATTGGTAAATGAAAACTAAGTGTTTCTAACTAACCAGCAGGTTATTAGGTCCTGCGTTTTATCAGCTGTGTTTTAAATCAGTGTTGTTCTTTTGCTAACCTATTTTGTAGAATTCTAGTCCTCTTATTTTTTACTTATTTACTTATTTACTCTGGAGCGTAATAATATAGCAGTGATCATCATCATCCTGAATTTCAAAGGACATTCAGCAATTCAAAATGTGAAAAATGTATCTTTGAGTTAGTACTATTTGGAGGCATGGAATTATTTAAAGCGACGTATGTTCATAGTTTTCAAGGCCAGAGGGAATATTATGTCCTCATCTACGCTAGTCTGATCACACACATAATACCTTTATTCACAGGAGGCAAGTTTGCATAATAAACAACAACAGAAAGACTCATCATAATAGCACTAAAGAAATGAGTAGATCAGAGATCTTCAGGATAGACACTGTGTCTATCTGTCTGCACAGGAGAAAGTGTAATACAACTCATTTACTGGAAGTCCATACGGATATTAAATACAATAAATGGTATCTTTGCTGAGAATGCCATTTCCTTTCCCTGTTTGGGAAGAGCCAGCACTGCCCAGCTGAGCAAAAAGAGCCATGAAGCTCAACGGCAGCCACTTCCCTTCCTGCTCCTGGGTGGTGAAAAATAATACTTGTTCTATGAGATTGGCACAAAATTAATTCAGCTTGTAATACTTTAATCTCCCTTAAGCAAAAGCTTAGTCGATCACATTGTAACTGTAATATTTTATTTTTGCCTTATAACTTCAGGGAGTTTTATTGTTAGGTTGTCATCTTTCATCACTTAGAAAAGACAACTGCAATGCACAGATCCCTTGAGAAACATTAAATGAAAGTTATTCTGTGTCAAAGCAGGGCAAAAACCCAACAGAGAGTAGTAGCTGTGCTTTTATAAATACTGGAACGGTCAAAAATCCACTTAGAATATGCTACGCGACCTTACATATAGAGAGAGAAAACAACAATGGGATGTATGGAAAAGGGGCTGGGTCAGTCTGCAGTTCCTGCTTGTTCCCAGTCCTTGGTCAATTCTACATTAAAATAATCCCTAACGATCCATTAGAGCAGTAGCAAAGGTGCTGGAAGTTTTTTTAACTACAGATGGTCCTCAGGAGGTGGCAACTGGAGAATGCAGAACACCAGCCCTACCATCTGCATCCCCTGTAAAACTGCCAGGGAAGAAGAATAAGATGCAGGTGATGGAGGAGGAGATGCTTTTGTTGAATCCACGATGTGTGAAGAACCATTATCTGCTGGCTAACCTCCTCGTAGCAAGCTAGCCTGTCTGCAAAGCTGCCCTGTGTGATCTGCGCAGTATGAAACAGCCATGCACAGATCTCAAAGGAAAAGTCACCATTGCAAAACCGTGTAAAAATTAAAGCTTTCAGTATGACTCTTCATCTCTCCCATGAAAAATGCAGTATATAATCTGTGATTCTTCCTGTTAAGCTGAGGGTAATCAAAGACTTAATATCTATTTTCATAACGTTACTGTTTCTATAGCTACCTTTACATTCTCTGGGGCAGAAACAGCCCCAACAGCCTTGATCATAAATATAGATATTTTTTTAACAGTCTTAATCATAATTAAGTCAGTACATTTGTTTAGAAGCATTAGACATTTTTCTTTTCATTTAGTGACAAACGCGAGTCTATTGTTCTTGTCTGTGAAGAGCACTATTAATCATCTTACTGAATAAACATGGTAACAGAGAGAAAATAGTTCTACTTTTTGATTTGTTTACTTGATACGGTTTTGGTTTTTTTTCTTCACAGAGTCAAGTAAAGAGCAGTTTGCCTACACAAACATTGCTGAAGAGCTTGTGAAACTGTTCAAGAAACAAATAGAGCATGATAAAAAAGAGATGATCTTTGAAGTTCTGGCTCCCCTGGCAGAAAACGGTGAGAATTTTAATTTTAATCTTACAGTATTTATTTTGCTATAAAGGAAAGGATAGTTTTGTTTGTTTTCGGGACTAAAGGCAGAGTAACTGGCTGCTTTGTTCAGAAGTTTGCATGGTTGATCCTTGTGATGACAGTTTCAGATGAAGCGAATGTCAATTGTCTGAGCACATGACGGGGGCCTACAAGTTGTTGATGCTGATTCCACCTCTGATTCACTTTCTGTATGATTATGTTATGTTTGATTTCCCCGTAACAGCAGTGGGAATATTAAAAGCAGCTTTTTAGAGGATTTCACAGTATTTTCTAGACAAATGTGAATATCAAAGATGCCCATAAGAGCTTTGATATAATTTTCTAATGATAGATGCTAGGAAATGCATAGTAACTATCACACCTCTGCTTCATATTAATGTACAATAATAAGGAAGCACTATCTTGTAGAACTGTTAAGTGTTATGCTCGCCTTCAGCACCATATTCTTCTCCTATGTTTTGAGTACAGTCCATTTGATTGAAAAGTTACATTTTAGACTCAATGGAGCTTATTATTGGTAGTTACTTCTTTAAAGTAGCCAGCAGATTTATCTGTGAAATGAGGAGAACTCCATTTCCCCCTCAAAGCTCGCAAGAGGCTGTTGTAGTTCTGTAATCCCTGAGGAACAACAGGAAGAGCACCACGATCAGCTAAAGTGTTCATAGCCCATTACAGCCCCAATAAGTCAGCCACTACATCAATTCCTGGGATCTCAGAACCACCAACAGTTTCATGTCCTATGGAAGGATTTTTACAAGGGGCAAGCTAATTGCAGAGCTAAGACCAGGACGCTCTCTGCTTACTATTCATTGAGAGATCATTTAAATTTAATTTGGGGGTTTGGTGGAATATATTACTATTAGCCCCGGGAGACCTAGGTCCATTGTCTGGTTTGAGCAGTGAATGACAGGGATGTGTGCAGGATCATCCCTGCAGGATGTTCCTCCAGAAGGACTTCTGTGTGGTTTGTATAATCTACCATCTGCCCTTAAGGGAAACTAAAAAATGAGTTAACCTGTGGAGCTAGTTCTGGCCTGAAGTGGGAAGCAGCTCAGTATGAAGACAGCACAGTATTTGATGGCTCTATACTTTGTTTTCATCACCTCAACATTAAAATTTGTTTAAATGGAATAAATCTTGGAATGGTAGATTCTGAAGATTTAAGTCTCATCCTACTCTTTTCAACATCTATCTGTTTTACATAGTATAAATCAAGATAAATCTTGACTTCAATTTAAAGAAGTGGTAATGTCTATTCTCAGCAGTTATTTTGTCTTTTATTGTAAATGATATGTGAAACAGGATTCCTCTCTTCAGTTCTAAAAATGTGCATTTTGCCAAAATCTCTTCATTTATTATATAATAACTAGCATGCAGCTCTAAAATTATTCCATCCTTGGAGACTGATGCAGAATCGGGTCCAACATTGTGTGAGCTTCACATATCTCAGTTCAAATGCTTAATTTTTCTCTGCGTTTTACGGTCACAGTAAACTTTGATGGGTTTACTGCTGCTGAACATAACTCAGCCACTGGCACGTTACAAGGTAGTCAGCTGAACTCTGTCACCGTGCATTCAAGGCATGTTTAAAGGGAGTGAGTTCACTGTGCTGGTACCGTTTAGGTGCTTTTCACTGTAGATCATTGGCAATAGGCCAGCAGGCAAAAACATCTAAATGAACAATTTGCAGAATGGATTTGGGGGGAGTTGCCTTGTTTGTTTGGTGGGGGAGGTATTTTAGTTCGTTTTGTTCTGTTTTTAAGGACCCTGGTGCAGCAATTTATCTTTCAAATCACAGCGACCTGATGTTCCGCAACTTTTTAAGGGCCTCAGTGCAAAAGTATCTATTTAATAAAAATCCCAATTGAATATTTTGTGTTCCCTAACAAAGTTCATGAGAAGGCCAGCTGCTTTGAGAGGAACCATTTCGGTCAGGCAAAAAGCCTGGCAACAGCAGTGAATGGAGAGAATCAGACACATCCTTCACTGGAGGTGCGACACCTCCTCACCCAATTGTCGCTTGTGGAAAAAAAAATGCATCCACAGCTTTGGCCTTAAAATGTTTTTAAACTCAGGCTAAGCTCCTTACTGTTAAAACACCATCTCATGCAAAAATACTATGCACTATCCATTTGTTTGGACGTTTCTGCAGAGCTTCTTTTTCTAAAGTCGGTATGAAAAAACTACCAGAATCGCTTTCATGCAACAAAAAGAGGTGACACAGCATCAGGCAACCTGCCATCCCCTCTTAACAGAAAAGGAAATTAGGCATGTAAAAGAGGAGATGCCCAGCTCTGGTCGCAGGGGGAAAAAAGGTGTTAAAAATTGTGTTGCAGAGACAAAAAGTGTTGCTTCCAAATCCTATTTCACCACCTGAATAACACATTCATCACCTTCTCTGTTGAGCCTTATTGCTAATAACTAAGCAATGAGTTTGCTGTATCAGTGTTCAGGTTTTCTCCAATCACAACAAATTCCTCTCCCAGCCCAGCCTGCTGGATTTGGCCTTACTGTACTCCTCCTGCAGCCTTTTCAACAAAGGCCGAAACCTTGGCTCAGCTGAAAGAAATAGGTGATTAATTGCTCTGAAATTTCATCAGAAGTTTTGTATTTGATATTTGCGTGTCTGTGGGAAGTCAGGAGTTCTTCTGTGGATGAAATAGAAGGTGAGACGTTAGGTTTGTTCTGCAGCACACTCCAAAGTCTTCGGAGATCCCAAACGCAGCACAGCCCTTATGAGCATGCTGTGTAAGGACTGAGATGCCAGATGTTTTCTGCAGATAAATTTGCTCATTTTTGAGAACAGAAGAGCAGCCCCACACTGCTTCACAGTGTGTAGACGTGGTCTAAAGGCAGTCCAGAGCTGGGGGAGCACCTGGTAGATGAGCAGTGATGGAAGTTGACCCTGAGAACCTACAATAATTAAGTTGCACTGACGAGCTGTCAGTGAAACACTTGGCATTGTTACGTGTTTGCTGTCCTGCATGCAGGTACAATAGATGTGTTTAAACTCATAATGTTGACTCCTCCTCTCCATGCTGTTCTTCAGATGTCATTAAGCTGCAGCTGGTTGAAGCAGGCTTAGTGGAGTGCTTGCTTGAGATTGTCCAGAAGACTGTGGATAGTGACAAAGAGGATGATGTTGCAGAGCTTAAAACAGCTTCAGATCTTATGGTTTTATTATTGCTTGGAGGTAAGTACCGTGTAAGTACAGTTTACCTTTTGCAAAGCGACAGCAGACACCTGCCATTTGGCTGCTGAAGTTTACTATTATTAAACCATTTTTTAAATAACCTAAAGGACCTGCCATTTGACATGGAGTAGGTCAGATTTTGTCTCCCATCTGATTGCAGGACTGAATAAATTGTAGTGAAGCCAGCAGAACTTGACACATAAAAATAGAAGAATTTTCCCTAACATTTTTTTGGCTTGCTGACAAAGCTTTGGCTTTTTATTCCAGATGAATCCATGCAAAAGTTATTTGAAGGAGGAAAAGGCAGCGTGTTCCAAAGAGTGCTTTCATGGATTCCTTCCAATAGCCATCAGCTACAGCTTGCAGGAGCATTGGCTATTGCAAATTTTGCCAGAAATGGTAAGACTATGCTATAGTATCTTACATGTATTTATTTGTGCCTTTCTGTCATGCTACATCTGTACAGAAAAAGTGTGTGCAGTGTTAAAGCTGGTATGAAGCTATACAGCACCATTGGTAGTTTTATACTTTAAAATCCTGGAAAGTGTTAAGGCTGCTTTAAAAATAATAATAATAAAATAAACCTTTTATGTTGTGATAGGTGTATAGATTTCTGTCTTCTTCAGTTTCTCATATCACTGTTCTAAATTTGTCATGAGCACTGTAGCCCCCCATTGACGACGGTGGTCAAATTCTCCAGCAATAAAATGTAGAAAGGAGCAGGGAAGTGACACTTCTGTTCTTAAAAAAATCAAATAAAAATCTTAGTAATACTCTTTCACTCACAAGTGACATTGTCTCATCTTGCACAGACGGAAACTGCATCCATATGGTGGATAATGGCATAGTTCAGAAGCTGATGGATCTGCTAGACAGACACGTCGAGGACGGAAACGTAACTGTGCAGCACGCAGCCCTGAGTGCGCTCAGAAACCTGGCTATTCCTGGTAAGCCTCCCTTTGCATTGCTAATTGCACCAATGTGAAATTCTGCTCTCTCCCTGCAAGCCCCAGGGGCTGAGGGTGGGAGCACTGACTGACATTTCTGGAGGAGGTCAGCCTGCTGCTTTCCATTCAGGCCCGTAACTGCTTTTGTAGTTTTTGCACAGCAGCTACAGCCAGCAGTTTTAAATAAATCACAGACCCACAAGCCATCCTTTGGCCACTCTGAACCCATGGTATCACCCCCCACCATGGAAAGGGCAGCTTTGTGGCAAGCAGGGAGCTGAGGCCTCAGATGGGATTTCTCAAACCCGTCCATGCAGAGCACTGTGTGTTTTCATTTTGGGTTCTCTTCCACATGAGGGTCCCCAGCAGACAGCAGTGCCCAAATTACTGAAGCACTGCATCTCCCTGTAACTCTTAGAGCTTTCACAGTTCGCAAGTTAGAGCTGGAGCTGAGCTGTTGGAATAGCCAACCTGTTCCAGTTGGTTACTGTTTGTAGGCAATGAACTGAATGCTAATTGTGTCATTTTAATAACTCCACTTGTGTAAGTTTTGATTACCCAAATGTAAAAGACAGAGTACCTGCACATAAAAACAAAACAAGCCTATAATAATTATATATGCTTTCTAGTACAAGGCCACAAAATAAGCCTTTTATCCATTTAACCTTATTTTACTGTTTTCAGTTTCCACAGAGTAATTTTCTAAAAATGATCGTGCATGCATACTAAACCCATGCAGCTTTAGTGGTACGCCACTTGCTTATATTTCTTGGGTAGTTCTGTTAAATTCCATTGTTTGGAAAGCTTCCCTGTAGCCTGTGCTCAGGGATGTCAGCCAGAGACCTAAACAAGATTTAATGGATATTGTTACAGAAAAATGAGCAAGGAATAATTGGCCCCGTGATGAACTGCTTGTTAAACACTACTTTGAATATGAAATAAGTATTTTTTTCTAAGTACAGTATTGGACCCATGGAAGTGGAGAACTTAAGACTAGTGGAAGGGATGAAGGACAGTTTGGGGAGGCCTTGCCAGGACTCCAGACATGTCAGGCCACAGTGTTTTTTGTGTAAAGTGTTGGAACTGGGTATGAGGTTGCTCTGCTAATTGGATGCTTTAGTTTCTTTCTCTATGAGAAACACAAGAGTGTTGTTGGGAATCAGAGATGTTTCCCCATATTTTGGGGCACAGGTAAGCTCTAGCCTGGGCTTCTGCTTGGTGCATTTTGTGGAGGACTCCTTTCCTAGCCAAGGTGGAGAAGTCTAGCCTTCAGTTCATGGTCAGGGTGAACACTGGAGATTAGGCGTGCATGCTGGGACAAAGCACTGCACTTCATACCTGCATCTTAGCAACCCCAACATTTTTCTAAAACACAGCATTGTCAGCACACGCTGTCTGTGTTCACAAGCTATTTTTCAAACGGTGTCTTAAAAATTGCATCAAGACTGTCTTGGAAATAAATTGCACCTTCCAGAAATGTTCTTGAGATCGTTCCTGTTCTTTATTCATGCAGTTGTAAATAAGGCTAAGATGCTATCAGCTGGCGTTGCAGAAGCAGTATTGAAATTTCTCAGATCGGAGATGCCCCCTGTTCAATTCAAGCTGCTGGGAACATTAAGAATGTTAATAGATGCACAAGGTAAAAATAAGCTGTTCTCTATGTTAAGTAATTCTCTTTGATTCAGTCTATGATATAATGCTAAGAGAGAAGGGAAGCAGAGGGGGTTTTTTATTGTTTGTTTTTTTTTTGTTGCTGTTGTTCTTTTTAATTTTAAGCCTGAAACCTTAGAATAAACCTAATACATATGCAAAGGGAGAGAAAAATGTGGGTTGACTTTTTTTTCAGCACTCCTAAATTGACTACTCGGGACCCTCAGAATAGGTGTCAAATGCTTGTTTACTTTTGTACTTCAGAACTCTCCTACACTGTCACATTATGAGTATGCGTTGAGGCGTGGGAGTTTGAAGCTACCACTCCAGCTTTGCTGTTCACTTGCTGCATTTTCTAGCTGTACCTAGCTTCTTGGAGCACGCTAATGCGCTTGCTAATTGATAAGCTGCAATTTCAAAAGGAGCAAGAAGCTTTCAGTTCTGCCTCTTGTTCTGTACCTAAGATCTGTATTTATGAAATTAGACAGCTAAAAAAAAAAAGTTATTAATGAGATAATTAGCCAAGTATTTATTTTTGACCTAGTAGAGCAGATTTTTTTCAAAAGCTCCCTTGTAGTTCTAGCATAGCTATTAGATGTGAAGTAGAAATTCATTGAAGAAACTTATGCAACTTTAACATCTTGTGGTTTAACCCGGTCAGCAGCTAAGCACCATGCAGCCATTCGCTCACCCTCCCTCCTCCCTCTCTGGGATGGGGGAGAGAAACAGGACAGTGAAGCCTGTGAGTTGAGATAAAGACAGTTTATTAAGACAGGAAAATAATAATAATGATAGTACAACTAATAATATGTACAAAACAAGTGATGCATAATGCAATTGCCCAGCCTAACTCCGAGCAGCCGGCCCCCTACCCCGGCTAGCCACCCCTATATATTGTTCAGCATGACCCCAGATGGTGTGGGATACCCCTATGGCCAGTTTCGATCATGGTCCTGGGTCTGTCCCCTCACAGCTCCTGCATTTTTTTTTTTTGGTTATGAGTGTTTTTGGTATTTTGTTTCCATTTTGGCTTTACTTGCTTCCATGCAACCTAGACTTTTCACACTGTTAGCTCAAGCTGGCAAAGTTCTCCTTCAACTCCTTCTAGTTAGTGACTTTCAGCTTATTTTTCTAACACTTGCTTTAAAAAAATGACAACTTCTCTGTTGTGTTGTTGGCTCCGGCAACGTGTAGCAGAAGCAGCTGAACAGCTGGGAAAAAATGCAAAGCTGGTGGAACGGTTGGTGGAGTGGTGCGAAGCCAAGGATCACGCAGGTGTGATGGGAGAGTCGAACAGACTACTGTCTGCACTTATACGACACAGCAAATCAAAAGTAAGTGGCGAAAATTTCAGCTTTTAAGCACAAAGAGTTACCTCTGCACTTCATATCATTAGTAGCCAAGGCCTCTGGTACACAATCTTTCTAGAAAGCCAGGTTGCTTTCACAGAATCACAGACCTGTAGGGGTTGGAAGGGACCTCAAAATATCATTGGGTCCAACCCCCCTGCCAAATCAGGTTCCTCAGAGCAGGCTGCCCAGGTAGGCGTCCAGACAGACCTTTATTCATATGTTACATCCTCTCTGCCTCCAGGACCTGCCAGTCAGACTCGTGCAGCAGGTTTACACAGTCACTGGAACTATATAGGTAAAAAACATAGAAACAAAGCAAAACAGTCAGAGAGTTGCAGGCCAGTTAAAGAACATTGTTCAGGTGAATGTGGCTCAGTCTTGACCCGTTTGAATTTGCGTTGTAGCCTGTAGAAGTTCAGCATGCCATATTTTCTACTTTATGATGATATACGTAAGGAGTCATTGCATTCAATTGTTATCATCTTTCTATATAGATAGTTATTAAATAGGCATTCACAGAATGACTTTTAGAAGAAAATGTAGAGCTGAGAAGGTGGGCTTATTTTTTGGTGTTTTTTTAATGCTTTTACTGCCCTCTAGGTTTGGTTATGGGTACAACTGGTTCTTTACTGCACGCTAATTTGAGTTCATTTTTTTATTTAAAAGTATTTCAGCTAGTATTTAGAAAGGCAGTGGTAGTTTAGGAACCTTAGGTCCCATTTTAAAAAATGGAGTCGGTATTAGTCTGTTAAACCACACTGGTATTGAACCTGGATGCTGTCATCTCTTACCTGCTTGGTACTGCCTTTTGGAGGGTGATATTCACCTATAAAATCATTAAAATTTTCATGTCAGGGCATATAGCCAAAATTCTCCACCAACTCAAGCAGAAATTAGCAGTTCCCAGAGTATTCCAGGAAGTCTCAAAACCTCTTTGGATTTCTACCAGAAAAATCACAAATAGGAAGAAGCATCACTGCAAGTAAGGAAAAGTATAAATATATATGTATATATATTTTTATATACACATAGATTTTATATATATGTATTTCTATCTATACACATAGACTTGTATATATTATGTCATTCAGAAAAAATAATTTTTTTAAGTGTTAAATTCATGAGTAATTCAGCTGTGACTTGCACCACAAGCATCCTCAATATGATAACTAAATGGATTTCAGTTTTCAAGGTTATGATCATATTGTGTCTGGTTCCCTGCACAAAGAATGTTGCTGCATAGTCTGTGCAAGCACTGGCATGTAAGTCATTCTAAACACATGTAACAGTTGATGAGTTTTGGCTTGTGGTTGGTGTTTAGAGGGGATGTATCCTTTGAATGGAAATTCAACACTTTCTTTAAAAATTTAAACTAGATTCTTATTCCAAGAAATAACTATTTAATTATTAGTTATTAATAATAATAATCATAAATATTATTTTACATTTGTATGATTTATATAATATTTAATGACAAACATAATAGAAATAAATAATAAATATGAGTATATAATTTATATGAATATTCTATAAAATTTTAAAATGAATATTAGATATTATATTAGTTATTATTAGTTGTAACTATTATAACTTTGCACCCTCAGAACAAATAAATAGTTAAAAAAAATTATTTAGACTGTTGCCCTTTAGCATGCAAAGTTACCTGACTTTCAGTCAGTATTTTGTAAGTATTTTTGCTGTGAAAAATACATATTTCACATATAACTGTGAAAACTTAAATTAGGTGCGAACTAACTTTTTAATGATAATGTACAGGTAAATCAAAGACCTCAAACACCATAAACGGTTAACTGGAATGGTTTGACAGGTCCATCTTATAATTAGAGTAATTATATATAATTTGTAGGCTTACGTACATGTACATTTACATATAAAGTTCTTCAATGTGCATATAACCAATAAGCAGCCTTACCTGGAGATAACACAGCATCGGTGACAACTTCGTTATTTAATAGTTTGTGTGCAATGCAGAATCTTTTTTTTTTTTTTAATTTCTGTGCTATTTCTTTTAGGATGTCATTAGGACCATTGTACAGAGCGGTGGCATCAAGCATTTAGTAACCATGGCGACCAGTGAACATGTAATAATGCAAAACGAAGCTCTCGTTGCGCTGGCACTAATAGCAGCTTTAGAGTTAGGTGAGTATCCCAGAGGTTAACTCCGCCTGCGTTCTTCTGAGCCTGGGCCCACGAGAATTGCACAGGGGCAGTCGTGCGAGCGTCTCTTGCAATGTGGAGCAGGCTGCTTCTTCCACCAGCTGCTTCTTCCACCGGCCTTTCAGCAGCACAGGAAATACATGGCAAGTCATGCACTGACAAACAGGAAATAAGGTTAAGCAGAAAACTGGAGTTTGCTCGTGATACATTTCCTATTCTATTATTCTGGTAGGTAAACACAATCTAGAACACCCTCTAACAGATTTCAGATTTGGGGTAAAACCCCAAAGGCTAACTATTTTAGAGTGGAGACTGTATAACCTAGGTCTGCGTGCACTGGGATGGTTAAATCCCCTTTTGAGAGAGCTTATCAAAGTAAAGCTTTCACTTGCCTAATCTGTGAGAGCTGAAGAATACATATGGAGGTGGATGATGCCACCAAATGTCTTTATTATTATTAAATTCCACAGAAACAGATGCAGGAGTTGCCATATGAAGGCAGAGATGAGTACATGTCTTAACCTGCCTTTGTAATACTTCAGCTTACCAAACAAAGAAAGGGGAATGCCCACTGGGGGCTTTATTTATCCTGTTTGCTTGCTTGTTAACTAAGATGATGATGATCTGAACAAGCAACATTTACGTATTTTTGTTCTTGATTTCATCTCTTGTCATTGTGCACTAGCAGAATGCTACTTTCAACTTCCCAATCGCTGCCAATGCATCGGGGAATTGTTTTGTTTTAATTGAAAGGAAAAATGCTTGTAATTATATGACACTTCTAACCCTTGTCTTACTCTCAGACATTTATAGGTTCTGAGGCTGAATTCAGTACATTAATGTTTCTTAGAAAACTACAGAGGAAATAACTCATATTCTGATTTTGCAAAGCTTTTCATGGTCTTAATGGATCTCTCTCTACCATGGAGTCAAGAATTACACTGCCTGTATTTAAGTTAAACAAAGTTTTCAAAAGCAATTCAGGCAGTGTAAGTCTTGAAAGCTTAAATATTGCAGGTGTTGGCTTAAACAGCTAGAAAGCCAGGCAGATTTTCCATCAGCTCACTGCACATTTAAGATTGGATTTTATTATTAAACTGTGTAATTGTCCTTTCAAGCAGTTAAGCTATTTTGCATTTTTATAGCAAGAGCTGTGATTCCTATCAGCACACCATCTGATACGTGCTTCAGTTTTATGCCAGTGAGCTAGGTACCACAGCACCAATTCCACTACAGTGGGAGATCCATGTTTCAGTAAGTGGCTAAAACACTGAAGTATCAAACCAAGCGGCACTTCCAGGTTTACAGGTTTTCACTTTGTATTTCAGTCACTGCTGAAAAGGACCTTGAAAACGCTCAGCTCGTTCAGATTCTACACAGACTGCTCTCAGATGACAGGAGTGCTCCAGAAATAAAATACAACTCCATGGTGCTGATCTGTGCCCTTATAGGATCTGGTGAGTATTCAGGACGGGACGCTTTTCTAAGAGATTTTTATCATAAAATTTTTGTGGTCTGAACTTGGACCACGTGCAAATGCACTCAGTCTTTGTTTCCGTTCACAAGGAATGTACGCAGAATAGTTTGATTTACTGTGACACTTTAGTGTCAAGAAAAAGGCTATTAACTCAGTTTGGGATATTAACTGCCAAAATTGGATTCAGGCTTCTGCAGTTTGCAGATAACTCCTGAAAGCTTGAGCTATCTACAAGTTTTACAAGAGAAAAACAAAAACCACCTTTAACTGTACAGTGTCAGGCTCTCTGTGCAAACATGCAGATAACAAGAACTTAATTCTTACCTTTAGCTGTAAGCTCCCTGTAATCGATGGGTGATGGCTGGTTTTTGGGTTTTGGTTTTCTTTCTTCAAGTAAAATTAGGTGGAAGAGAAGTTTCCAAGGCACCTCCTTTAAATTCCTACAATAACAGTAGAAAGTTAAAAAAGAAAAAAAAAGAAAGGAATACTTACAGGGACACAAGTGAGCACTTCGTACAGCACATAGGCTGGCATCCTGCTCACTGACCTTGCTAGGAAGAGTCCTTCCCTTGGCAGCCTTCACATGCTCTGAGCACAACTGTTTGTGGTTATTTTGAAAGATGAGCAGGCTGTGCTCTAACACGTGCCAGGGCTGGACGCTAAACTCTCTTCTTTCTGAGGTAACCCTCTGGCAATGGTCAGATTGCTTTGAGGATAGTGAAGAAGCAGGCTATGGCTTGCAATTGCAACTTCACACCTCTGCATGGACAAAGAGGGAGGGGAGAAATGGAGCAAAGTATCATGAAGAAGCTTGATCCCCAGCTGAGGATTCAAGAAGTGTACAAGTTTCTTTCACTCAGTCCTTCAAAAAGTATTTACTCTATGGAAGGAGACCAAATTTCATGTGAGAAAAAAAATCAGAAATTTACAAACACCTAAGGGACAAGGAATTGCATTAAGTGCAGAAAGGTAGGAAGTCAGTACATGTTCAGTACCCATCTCTGCACATGGCTTGATGAGTGTGAAACAGCTGAAGATTTGCCAGAGATGAGTTCACAGCAATTCAGCTGAATTGATTAAAAAGTTATAGCTACATGCATGCTGTCTGTAACCAAAGCTGCTTTTCCTATATAGAGTTCACCACGCCAGCTGCAGGGCTGGTGAACCCACATGTTCATGGTTGCCCGTGCATCCATGCTAGTGACTGCTGTATTACTGACATCTTAAAGGAACTAATACATGTTTTTTAGAGCAATACATACATCTCACTGTACAAAAAAGGGTGCTCAAAGCTTGCTAACGAGCCTCAGCTCCCACTAAGCATTTGCTTTAATGCTAAGACACAGCATTTAGGTTTTACTCACGGCCCTCTTACCTTAAGCCATTTTGTGCTTGGAGTCGTCCATCCATTTTAGAGCAGAAGCCCTTCTGCAGAGGTTCCCTCAGCCTCATTGCAGTGCTCTTGTGATGCTCCCATTGCTTCCAAGTAAAAACATCATCCTCAGAAATTCTGCTCGACACTTGCATTTTCACTTCTCTGAGTCTTGTCACCTGCAAGATGGACAGCATTACTTAAGGTCACATAACCATCTCTATTTCACTAGAGTAAGGAGCGGTCTTCCCTTATTTTTTTTCAGAGTGAGTTATCCAGCTGGCAGAGCTCAGCCAGCACAGTACAAGTTTTACATAGACAAGAGGCATCTTAGCATTCTCCCAGAGAGCAGACAGCACATCACTGCAATACACAGCTGTGAAGTTAGGGCTCAGCACTTGGCTGACCCAGTGGCCAGCCTCCCTTCTTGATGAACAGACCTATGTAACAGTACATAAAAACAATAACTGAGCAACCCTGGTATTAGCTTTTAACCCCCCCCTCACCTGATTTTTAACCAGGGGAGGCAGGCAGTGCAATCACAAAGTTTGCTCTCCATGCATGAGAAAACACAAAATACATTTCTTCCAGCCCTGCTGCCTCTAACATTTCTGCCACCATCTCTGCACAATGACTATTTATGTTTACAAGTTCCCATGTTCTACTGTAAACAGAGCCATAGTTCCACAACAGTTAGAAAGTGGTTGTCTTGGTTTTAATTATTGGGAAGTTTAATTCTCCAGGGCCTGCTGTACTATCCTTCATTACAGGGTATCTGGCATCATATTTAACTTGATACTACCAACAGCTGTGCTTTAGCAGTAAATACACATGTATAAAAGTGATCTTTTTGCCATCTGGAAGTTGATGTTGCAACTGAAAGAATGGCTGGAAAGAGGGAATAACGAAGACAACAAAAAATGGAAACATGTAACCTAAGGAATAAGCAAAAGCAGAGCATTCCTAGCTAGCAGTCACGTCTGTGTGAGGGTCCCAGCAATCTGGATTCTGAGCACAACCGATCAGCCACAGTAAGTCACAGCGAGCTCCTGAGAGGTAGTTCAGTAACATCTGCTTAAAGACGATGCTATCTTAGAAGTAGAAAGAGGAAGGAAAGCACTTGCACAGCATAAGCACCCTGAGAGCTTTGCTGACACTACCCTCTATGACCCAGTTCCCAGGCGCACGGCAGTGTGAGAGCTCCTAGCTCCCACACAGCAGGGGATAAACTGAAAGAAAACTGAAAACTTGTGAACAAGAAAGTTGGCAGGGAAAACAAATGGACAAAGCGTGCTTTTCTGTCCAGAGGAAAAGCAGTAAATATGCGTAGCTGATCTGAAACAGATGGTTGGGATTCCTCCTGGGAAGCTCAGGGATGAGGCCCCAGCAGCACCTGGGAAACAAAAAATACCTGTAGGTGTTTGCTGCCGAGTGAGAGTTCACCAGAATGGGCTAAGCAGGGCATGAACCACCACCAGCTGCTTTGGCTATTAACCATGGGATGCTTGAACACAGGGCTCCAGGTAAACGCTCCGCATTGTATTTTTTTGTGAATTGCACTGTCTGGGTTGTTTCCGACCTCCTCACACTCCCCCACAAGCAACCAGAGCTGATTTACTACAGGTGAGCTATGCAGCGAACCCTCCGAGCAAGCTCATTCACTCCATCAGACCAGTTTAAGTAATAAAGCAGAAAAATACTCCATTAGAAAACAAACACTTCCTAAGCATCTCTTTTGGAGGACTTACCAGGTGGATCTTTGTGACTGCCAGGCAGCAGCTTCAGCCTTCACCTCTACCTGAAGTCCGTGGCACCTGGGCATGCCCTAGGCCCAGGGAGTTCTCTCCATCCTCAAAAGCAAATGAGAACAGTAAATACAAAGCCTGTGAGTACACACACCTGTGTGCATATGCGTGTACACCATGGAGGGGGTGCTGCTGATGCCTCCCTAAGTGCCTCACACCCACCCAGCTTTGCTGTTCTCTCACCCGTCTCATACCAAGCCCCATTTCTTTTACTCTTTCTTTTTTCCAGAGCCTCTCCAAAAGGAAGTGCAGAGCATGGCATTTCTAGAAGTCGTATCAAAACTCCGCAGCCATGAGAACAAAACTGTTGCCCAGCAGGCCTCGCTAACAGAGCAGAGACTTGCTGTAGAAAGCTGAGGAAGGTCTCTTGTTTTCAGTGCATCCCATCACAGATTCCACCTTTGTCCTTCGTCCTGCTGCCGCTCCTGCTATGTTTTCCACTGTATCACTCGTGCATGCGTGTAATGTTCCCACACAAATTGATGAACTGCTGTAGGTACCCGTCCAAAAAAAAGGTTTCTAAAAATTCATAGGTGGTGTTAACATGAACCTGTCTCCACCCGTAACTGTTCTACTCGTATTCTTGTTGCTTGGGCCACATAGTAGAATGTGCATGTTGTAGTCCTATGATGATGTAAAAGTGGTACTACATGACGACTCTCTCCTCACAGCCCCTAACCGCGTAACGATGTACTACTAAATTAGGGACAATACAAGATGCAGCAAGTCCAGGCTAGTGTGCTGACTGTAGGATTAAGAAGTAAATCTAGCTCCATTTTTGGTGCTCTGGAGACGCAGGTTTGGATGCAATGTACTGCTGCTCATTCACTGGTCTTGCCTATTAATGTCAAACTCGTGGTACCTAGAGGTAACAAATAAAAATTTCAGTGCTCTCACTTTATCCTGTGGTTTGTCCTTTTCCATATTCACCCAGAGAAGCTGAGGCCACACCAGTAGGCGCTGGTGAGGAGCCCCTCTCGTTCCTGGCTCTGTCCCCTGCTCAATCACTGCCTTTCAGCTCCAAGAATACAAAGGAAACAATTCCAGCCACTTCCACTGCATAGACTGCTGTGCACAGAGGCACCGTGTGGTTTAACAACTGGGGGTTTTCACAGGAGCACACTATGCAGTCCTTATCCCATAAAGCCACGTGGGTACGTGTGCTGCTAGGTTTGCTTCGGGCTGGGTGTTTTTCTGTTGCAGTATTTTGTTTTTGCAGATGGATTTTTAAAGGCCTATCTTGCAGCAGCTTCTCAAGAGAACCCCATTAATAAGTGAGAAACGCAGCGTGCAAGTCTTCCTTTTCTCCTCTCCTAGGTAAAGGAGTTGGGGAATTGCCGGTTTAAGCACCTTACCTCACAGCTGCTCCTCTGTAGGACTTGTGGCGACAGGCAGCGAGCGGACCAGCAGACAGCTGTTTGGCAAAACAGGGAGCGGTGGGGATAGCAGTTTCCAGCAAGCCTCCACATGCTATTTGTGACTGTATGATACCATTGCCATCTTGATGATGCCTTGAGTGATTGCACAAAGATCGTATGATCTGTAACACTGTGAAGAGAATTCAGTTCTCCCAGTGCTAAAGTGGCAGCCTCAGGAGTCTCAGGCTCTTTGTTACTCAGCCCAAGGGAAACCTAGAGGCCAAGCTATCCATGTGATCCCATGCCACATGGTTGCAAAACACTGCTTTCGACCTTTCCAAATTCACTTCCCAGCTCCGTGAAACCACCGGCTATCCCATACTGCGATGGGAAGATGCCATTCATGACAGGAAAGGAATTACGTACAGAAGCTAAGTATGAAAAGAAGCTGGACACTTCCTTCATATAGTCAATATAAGATCTGAGACCATACCAAAAACCCCAAACCTAGCAGATGCTACAGGAGTATTCACACAACAGATCCACATCCATTTAAACTAGTGCCAGGAACTAAGTGGCAACACAGTAAAGTTGGAAAAATAGTAATAATAAAAAAGCCTGCCAGCAACTGTACACAGCCTCTTATTTAAAAATATAAAATGCAAAACACCACCAACCTGTAGACACAGGCCAGGATCCCATGACACGAGGCTCTCAATAACACAGACCCTCTGCACTTGTGAATGTAGCCCACACACTTACAACCACTGTTCACAACAGACCCACGTGAGACCCAAGTTTCTGTATTTATTACAGAAATAATTTTCCTTGATTTCAATGAATTCCAAAATACCAGTTATCAATGGCTTACCTGGTTCTAGAAAGAGACTCTTCATGCCTTTTGACACCCGTATAAACTGCAAATACTCACACGAGCAGGCCATAACAAAGCTGTGACGACTCCCATTCACCTGCTTTTCTAACTGGAGCTCAGGTTAAGCATCAAACCTATATTTGTCACTGAATTTTTATTAGGGATACCTAATATGACCATTATGACAGCAAGCATAAAGGCCGACAGGCCTTTAATTTTCAGATGGTTTCCCCGGGCAGAATATCAAGGCATTTAAACTTCTAGATGGAACTTGTGCTACGTCTATATACCGAAGGAAAGTCTGCACAAAGATGGTTTTATGTCATGGCAGAAGGTAAATGAAGAGACTGTCTGTCCACACAAACGCATGCTCTAGCCTGCAGGTCATTTCGATGTAGCTGGTAAATCATTTACCCTCTTAGCCTCTTTTAGTCAGACAAACAGGATCTGAGGACATTATCACCGTGTGCATTTCACTACTCACTTGACTGAAGTCAACTGAATGGAAACTGCTGATGACAGTTCGGCTGTTTACTAGATAGATTACAACTAAGCAGTTTGAAATCTGCTGCTCAGATTATTTTTATGGCAACAATGCCAGACTTTTCACTTGCCTATTGCTGCAGCAAGCCAAGCTCGAACAGCCCACAGCTGCCACGCTGTGTAGGGCCAGCAGTGCCCGGCTGGCACACTCCACTCCTCTGCACCTGCAGGGCTCCCATGAGACCCAGCAGCACGGAAAACCAAGAGCACACGCAAGAGTTAACATTTCACAACTGTAGAAATAGAGGGAAAAGTCTCTCTTTGTATGAGTCACAAACTCCAACAAAATAGGTTTTGGATCCAAAGGATCAATGGTCAAATGAGACCACGAGACCCAGTAAGGGTCACTTGTTTCAAAGGTCCCAGAAATGGTAACTAGTCACGTCAGGAAACAACATACAAGTTCACACAGAATACAGGCAGCTACTCCTCATCTCCCCTTCACCGCAGTTTTTTATATACGAACACCACACCTATCGCATGTTAACAAAATTTAGGCAATGTCCTGGACTTTGCTTCTTTTTGGTTGACTTCTCCAAGCACCCCTCGCCCTGGTCTCCACATTTGCATTCTTACTTTGCCAGAAGTCATTTCCATAAGTGAAGATTTATGTACATGCCTGAGATACACAAAAGGTATTTGACTTCAGTTTGGGTATAAAGATGTACTTTCAAATCAGTCACAGTGGTGCTTTGCAGACAAAGCAGTAGGTACAGATGGGGATGAACGGTTAATACGGGGCAGACGTCAGGCTGAGGGGCAAAATTAGCTGCAAATCTGAAATTTGTTTCCACGGGGAAAACAAGGCAGGCTCATAAGAGACAAGACAGTATCATTCAAATCTGCTGCTTTTTCTATTCCTCCTCAAGATTTGCATACTCACCAGACTGGCAATACTTCGACAGCGGTTAAAAACACAGCAAGGCCAGGCCTCTGCCCACAACAGCACGAGGAAGGAGCATTTGCAGGGAGGCAGCACGTAGCTTGTCACAGCCAGAAGCTATCGAAGCTATCAAAGGAGCGATGACTGCTGATCGCTTGGCCCAATTCCCCCTGACCGCCTGCTCACACCAGATCAATGAAAGACAAACAGCTTGCTGGCCCGTTTGCTCAGAAATTTCTGTTTCTCAGTGAAACCTCCTGATCAAGCCAGGTGCTACAAGTGCTGCTCAAAGGCAAACTTTGTACCGTGGGAAGAAAAGTGATAACCACGGTGGGTGAAATCAAACCAGGGCACCGACCTCCCAAGAGCATTTGAAAACTCCTTGCAAGAGGTTCATGCCAATTGTTTTTCAAAGCGTCCAATGCCAACTATGCTTACTATTTACTGCAAAATAATGCAGATTGATGAAATACTGTATTTTATAGATACTAAACTGGATTAGCTTGCCCTACAGTTTTGGAAATACTAAAAAATGGCTTCCTCCTCCTCTGTCTAAACAAGCACAAGACATCATTACACATTTTTACCTGTGCAAAAGCAGTAAGTCAGCTCTCACTATTTCTGTTTAAGGACATGTTACGCTCTGAAAGTTAAATTCCCACCTCCCCTTACAAAAGTTTAATTAAATCGTGACAAATAGTCATATCCCCCTTTGTGCTGCTCCCTGCAAAGAACACGCCGGGGTCACTAAAATGATTACAGCGAGAGCTCCAACAGCTGTACTAACCAGCAGCCACAGCAGCTTGAGGAACACCAGCGACCTGTCAGAAACAAACAGAGCACATTTGTTAGCCAGACTTCAACAACAGCTGACAGCAGACGTGGGATTTTCTCACATGTGGATGTGCTGTTGACGTATTAGCTTATTACTCATTTAAAGGCAGCCACTGGCAGCATGAAAACGTGCTTTGTGGCTACCTTAGAACACAGCTCCCACATTGCATATGTGAGACTTGGGGATTTATTTCCTGTTAGTTTTTGGGAGGGAAGAGGGTGGCTTCTTCCGGAGGAGTTTTACCTGAACGTATCTTTGTATCTTCAATGTTGAGTACCACATCAAGAGTACACATTCACAGCATCATATTTCACGGAATTTTATTTATAAAATTGTAATTATCTAACAAATTGCATATAAAATGATTTACTTCAAGTAAATACAGAATACTGCACAACTATTAAAACTATCGTATTGTCCATCATAAGTGTATTAAAACATTCCTAAAAAATGCATCTATTAAAAAACAAAAACCCAAGAACACAAGTAGCATGATCAAGACCACTTTCAATAGCTTAAAATGAATTACCAGGAAGTTGCAACAACCTCCCAAGTATACTCCAGTTACATCCATTGAGATCAGCATGTGATACAATACCACAGTCTAATGCTAAAGATGACAAGTAATACATATGCACCTGATCTATGCTTTTCTCCTAGACTGAAGATAACCAGTCTGAAATCAGATAACTAAAGCTCGAGTCAAACTCTACTGGGCATGCAGTTCTGTTATAGCAATACTTTCAATCGGTAAGCGTAGTTGGCTTTTACAATCAATTTTACAACCGATAAAAAAGGAACACAAGAGAATACATTCGTATAAAAAGGAATGATACACAAAGGGTAAATATCAACACCTTATGCCCTGGGGTGAACCAAGCAGAGAGACACAGCTGGAACCGATCTGGAACATCCTTATCAGAGATGGGTCCGAGTCCCAAAGCCCAAACCCCAGTCTCCCCAGAGCTCAAGGTATCAGCAGGTCTGTCCCTGCTAGGTGCACAGTGTGAACATGAACATACGTACAGATGGAGCTTTTTGTCACCAGATTTGCATTGCCAAACACAACAGACAGCTAGCCGTGCTGCATGGCTGAGCACCTGCCTGACGCACGCTAGGAGTCACAACCCTTATTTTTATCCTGCGTGTTAAGGGAGAACGATTATTGGTTCTGCAAGTGGCAAAAATCAGTAGGTAGTGGATCAAACAAGGTAGATTCGTTCTGTTTGCATTAGACAGTTTTATGACCAATTACAGATATCCCAAAAGGTTTCAGAGGGGGAGAAAAAGATAAAATAGGAGAGAGGAACTGGAACCTTCACCAGTGTCTGACACACGCCGAGATCCCACCTGTGGCCACCACCACACGCCCAGATGGCACTCGTGCAGCAGGAGAGGGAGTTATGAACTTCTCTTGCAACCAAGATTGTTAAAATCAGGATGGATTTTACCAAGGGCATCTCTACAAAACGCAGATTAACGTCCAGGACAGAAGCAGTTCGTATAGCACCGTGCTTTAGTCCTTTTAGTGATGCTGACCTCCCAGAACTGGCAAGGGGGTGCTGGCTCTGCCCCTCCAGTTCCCAGTCTGATGCTGTTCTCCCAGTTCCAAGCAGCAGAGGAAAATAAGAAAAGACAAAAAAAGAAAAGCCAAGGGAGGTTTGCTAGGGGTTGTACCTTCCCCAGGGCCTGCTGCAAGGCGGCTCGGAGGCACTAGGTGGCACTCCGGGGCCAGGTGAACGAGGCCTGGTGGCCCCTGGCTCCCACCGCCCAGGTTTGGTGGGTGGGCGCCGTGCTGGCCGGGATGAAAAAAGCAGTCATGGGCAAGAATCATTTCACCTGCATGCTACTATTTACATTTCCAAGACTATTTACACACCAGGACTACGATGAACACCTCTCTCTCTCAGGGGAGAGAAGGCTTCCAGGACAGAGCACGCTTGAGCAACGCCTCCACAGCCTCAAACTCTAAGGGGCACTACCAAAAGTATGGGTTTTGAAGCAAAAAGATCTCAACTGCTACAGAAACAGACACACGCACACACAGACAAATCAAACATTTGTCCATTAAGCTATATATATAAAAAAAAAAAATGAAGCAGCAAACAAAGGCTTGTGAGTACGGAGAGCATTTAGAAAGCAGCAGAGGAGGAACAAGGACCGGGATGCCCTCTGACAGGAAAATGGCTTTAAAACTGGGGCTGAAGGGATCAGACCTCCCGCCAGCGACACTGCCATCACGGACAGACTGCCCAGCAAAGGGGTTTCGTGCTCCACAAAGGGCCACAAGCCTGGCAACAAATTTCTGAACAACCACTGCACGGTAAGGATGGTGACGCTGACCTCCACCACATCGGGCAAGCTAGAAATTGCCAGAAAGCCATACTGCCTACCGTACCTTATTGCTCTGGAAAATAAGCCCGTGTAGCCAGCGGTTGTGCTCTAGTTGTGCTCACCTGAACGTTTTGCAAGGTTTTCTGGAAGAAAGCTTGATCGGTTTTGGTAGGCTCTGACAATTACAGATGGATTTCCAAGGCCTCCCGCAAGCTTTCCGAACTGGACGCCTAAGCTGTAAGTAGATCGGGCATTGTCAGGACATCTTACCCGATCCGTAGACAAAAATGTGGCATTTAAATGTGCAACATAGGCAGCTAATCCTGAACATTCAGTATGCATCCATCAAGCAACTGCAAAAATGAGAAAAAATAAGACCATCTCTCAGGAGTTATGGGGGGGAGGGTGTCAGCATCTGCAGCAATAAAGACAAGGTCTAGAAAAATACCTTATTTAGTGGTTTTTATTAAGAACAGTCACTCTGGGACTCAGCAGAAATGCTGCACATCTGCGTGTACACATGCAAGCAGTGAGAACAAGACTTGCTCACCTCAGATCGTTTTTACCTTCCTATCAGCCTGACACTGCCAAGGGCACGCCGAGCAGACCGGACCTCGGAGGAGAGCGTGACAAGTCAGAAGGCCAATACAGTACAACTGCAGAAATTCAAGTAGAGGAATGGAAGTTGTCTTCAGAAGCTCACAGCAGCAACAGCAGTACTCAAGATCAGTGGCAACAAGGAATGTTTCTGTAATGCAGACTTTTTTTTTTTTTATTATTCTTTTCTCCACAGCGAAGTGCTGGGTCACAACCAAGGCTCTTGGGTGGAGGAGTTACTTCCTGAACCACGTTTCCCTGATTTCTCCCCGCACCATTTCATTACAGTGCAGCAACCTAAGTGCTGATGACCTGTCTGTCCTGCTGCTATCAGGCAAAATGGTGTGTCCCTTTGGGGGAAATGAACACCAGTAACTCCTCAAGATGAGGAGCGCTAAGAAAAACGTAACACTGCGGTGAGGTGGAACCAACTTTATTAAGGACAGTGAATTATAATTGCTTTCAAAGGCTTTTAAAAATGCTCTGAGTCACGGCTGGCCTTTAACAGCAGATACCATAGGATACGGAGGCTGCCTGATTCAGAGCCAGTCAGTGGGAGTTAACCAGAAGAGGATGAGGTAATACTCAAAGACAGGAGGGCAACAGGACTATCTGTGGCATCTGTGGAACAGTGTGCCCACCTTTGGACGGGGATAAAACACAGCCGACTAAAGCACAGAAAGGCAAAATGTGCAAGGGTACATATACTCACACGTTTAAGAGTCATGGGGCCAGAAAGGACCTCAACAGGTCATCAGACCAGACTCCTATCCATCCCCCACAACAGGGAAGCTTTGAAAACAACGCATTCATCTCTTCTACTTCACGTACTCATTAGGAAACTCATCTCAAAGATGCTAAGCTCTTACAGTGAGGTCCTACACACCACCCTTGGTCGCTGTTTTAACAAAGCAGGAGCCAAAAGCTCATCGCTTTTAGGACCAGTTCTGCATATACTGAGAAGGGTCATATAACAAGCTAAATTTATACAAAGTGCAATGAAACTACCCAAGCCATGGTTAGGTTCGGAAATTAACTACTATTTGTAAAGAACAATGAATCAAACTGGATGGAGTCTGATCTAATTCTTCTGCTATTTGTGCTTTATTCCAAATTCTACTCTTTTTTCGACTCAAAAGAGTCTGTGTCTTGGCTGATCCTAATATACACTTCGATTTTAAAACTTTTATTCCATTGCTTCAAGAAAGCTTTTTGTTGCATTTAGAGCAACAAATGGAGACATCTCTATAGCAAGGACTTGTTTTCTCAAGGTATAGATTTACTTCTGGCAAAAGGTTTTCTGTCCAACTTCCAAGGGAATGGGATATGATCTTTCCATAATCACATGCATTTACCAATAAATAAGTTTGGGTTAGACTGTATTAAAACATATGCACAGATTTAAAGCACTGGAGTGTCACAGGTACTTACTCCACAGCTCATGCAAGAAAAAAGAATTGAAGGAAAAAAAAGAAAAAGAGAGAAAGACCAAAGCCTCAGATAGGAACAGACCAAGGAATTATCTTAAAAGAAGTTTTGCACAAGTATTTCAAAGCACTAATATTAGTGAGATCCCTAAATACATTAGGTTACACTAAATTCCAGAGAAACAAAAAATTTAGCCATATCAGATACATATGCTTTGATTTTTTTAAGTTAATATATAATTCATTCTTTGAATAATATTATTCACTTGGACCCAACATCCACACTGCTTTCATACATTTATACAGTTATATCCCATTCTTGCCTTAAGAAACTGATGTCCTAAAGTATGGCAGCAACCAAAGGATCTACAACCTTTGTTCGTCAAATATAAAACTCCTTTCCTTTCATACAAGGGTGTAGAAAGGAAAAAAGATGTTGATAAAATTAGACAGTTCTCCCTGTGAGCTTGCCGATTCCAACATCAAAGTACAACAGGGAAATGGTTGTAAGCTTGTGTAAAAAAAAAAAAATCCTTAGTTTTAAAAACATTTTCATATACTGTACAATAGATGCATAGAAAGTTGCTTCCTGCTTGATGGGTTTAGGCCTGTAGCTATGTTTAGCTGTGAAAACAAGAAGATTGCTCCTTTACAGAGTGGTGAGGAGAGAGACCATCTTGGGAATATTTGGCAGCTATCGTAGAGCTCATGACATGAAGAATAAACAGCATATCCACAGACTACAATGATGCAACTCTGTCCCACTGAATACACCAATTTTTAAAAAGTGTCCACTTGTTACTCAGGATCAAGAATACAGTAGAGATTCACGGCTCAACAGCTTTCAAACTGGTGGTTTAAAACAAAAAAATTGTCAGTGAGCAGCAGATTTTAAAGAGCCCACTCTTCTCTCCCCCACCCCAAAGAAACACGAGTTCACTGCAACATCAGGAACTTAGGCTTGAGACTATGTGGGAGAGAAGGCTTCCCTGTCACCCATGTCCATACAGCTTGGTGTCGGAGCGACACACTGGAGGTTTCAGAGGGTTTCGGTTGTCCAGTGTCTTGTTGTGGTTACTTCAGCAGTTTTACCAGCTGGCTCTGACAGCCTCAATGTCACTAACCAAATTCTGGGCTAAGCATATCCCAAATATCTGGAAGAGACAACAGTTCATTCATTTGGAGCACTGGATAACTCTTTTCACATAGGCAAACTCCTTAGGTTATACAGAACTTTGATATGAAAAGAAGCAATCAAGTTAGACATCAACAGCGTTGGCAGAGGAAAGCATCGAAAAACTCCTGTAAACCTAGTATGGTATTTATAGTGTCACTGGGTTCCAGGAAATTGAGTAGTTCTAGATTTGCTTTGTAAAAGCAACTGTAAAGGCTTTCCACCACTCGTTTAAGCACCATCAGAACCTGTAGGTCTGTAAAGGTTTAAAAATCTCTGCCCAATCTTTAAAACAGCGTTAATTTTGACCCATGAACAGTTGAAAAGAAAAACAAATCCATCTCTACTGATAAAAATGAAACACCCTTTAACACAAAAAAGCCTCATGCATTTAATGCACCTCACTAAAAATCTACAGACTTTATATTTTTAAGTGAAACTCATGCTGCATTTCCATTTCTCATATACAGTCCCATCCCCAGCCCCTGTATGATTTATCTCACTGCTGTTCTTCCATGCAATTCATTGCAGCAAACGTGATATTTACCTGCAGTAATGCTATCCCTATGAATATGCCAGCAACTATGGTAAGATTGTCCTGCAACCATTTCTCAAACTGAGGGACGCAGCCTTTAGTGTAGATAACAATCTGCTGATCAACTTCCTGCCAAGGAGAAGGAAGAAAACAGGGGTCATTATATTCAATTAGCCCATCAATAGAATAAGCTGCTCTTGCAAGAAGGATTCAGATCTTTAGGATAACACGTTTTAAAAAAAAAAAATGCTTACTGGTTTTTGCCTTGCGTCGTAGCCACACTGAGTATTAATAACATCTTCCTAGGAGAGAGAGACAGAGGAGAAGCCAATGAGTGAAATGTCTCCAAAACCTCCCGTCCCACTTCTCCAGAGCTGGTTCTGTATGTAGTAAGACAATCACCCTATTTCAGTCACCATACTACTTTTGAAAACCACTTTCCCTCTTCCATTTAGTGCTGTTCATTATTCACAACAAACAAAAGCACATAATCAAAAATTATTTTCATCCCTCAGAGCTTCACACTTGGAAAACCAGCCCTCCACCTGGATAGAGTCCACATTCCAAATGCAAGCATTCAGAAGTCAAAGTAAAGGGATTAGGAAGCACCTATTTTAAGCAAAACAACTTGCCACTGAAAAGGTTTTGTCTGTACTGAAAATACACCGAGACTACAGTTAATTTTTTTTAGGGTTCAGTCTGTCTGGCATGAAGAGGTGAGAAGGGACAGCTCAGTTTGCAGAAGCTGCAGGCTCTTATAGGGAATGTCTGCAGAAATACATACAGTACCTAGTTCCTTTCCAGAAACTATTGAGGAAAAAGACAATATGGGGTAATGTTTTCCTACTGCTCATTCTTTCTTATGGGAGCTTGATACCACTGGGGAGGGAGATTATTCCTACTGCCTCTGCTTTAGCAGTCCCCAAGCGCAGCAAATGAAACAGGCTAGGACAGACTTTTTCTAGTGAACAAGTACTACTTAGCAGAAGCTGAAGTTTACTCTGTATATACAGTTATTTTGAGGCAATAAAATGAAGCAACTACTTTCAATGTCAGCTCCAATGGCAGCAAAATATTAAGTTACTGGATCATATCATCATAATGAGCAGAAGGACCTACTCAAGGAAGTCAGAAAATCAGCCAGTCTTAGCTTTTTCCATATGGCTGCTATTTAAAAATCTATGTCTCTCCTGGCTGTGTTTCTCACTTCCCCCAATTTGATTAAATAGTGATGTTCAGTACACCTAGATATCTTCTCCTATCAGCAGCTAAGCTCCTCTGCGTCTTTTCCCACTTTGCAGAAGTACATCAACAGGTTGCCCAAGCTGGATTCCCTCAATGGATCTCTAAGATTTGAGTAATTTTTATCTTTTAATGAGGTGACTGCTTCTATTCCGGGGCTTAGAAAAGCACAGAGCCACGTGCTTCAAGCATGTAAAAGCAGGTAAGATTACAACAGAGGGATTCTAAGCTTTCTTTTTTTTTGTGCTGAATGCCTACTTGTTTTATTACCAATGTCTTTTGTCTTTAACCTCAGGATTGGTTACCTGAAAGAAAGCATGAAGAAAGAAATGGAAATAAGCCAACTTTTCTAGGCCTTGCCTGCAGGAAAATTCAGAACCTTTCAACTCATTAAACTACAAAGCAAACTAAAGGAGTCTAATTTGGTTTAGCTTAAACTTTTTGCTTCCTTTTTTAAGCCGAACTAAATGCTAAAACAAAGTTCTGCTCAAGAAAGCATCCACATGATTTTTTGTGTCAGTCCAACACTGCATTGTAATTTCTAAAAGGGACGAATCTGCTTTCCTGTGGAGTGAACCTGCACATATCACTGCCTTTGAACCTTCCACAGATTAGTTTCATTTATATCCATTACATGCAGGAGTTTAATATGGACGGGGTCTTTATTTTGAAGGCAACTAAGTGTGCTGCTTCCATACAATGAATAAGAATGAGGCCTTATCTTTAATTTTCTGGTTACTGCATCACCCCCTAAGACAAAACATAGCGAAAGGGAGAGGGAACTTTAGCATGGACTGTGTATTTATAGGATTACCTTGTAGTGCTGTCACTGGCTTGGTTTTATAACAACTATATTTTTAAAACTGGGTTGTGATGACCTCTCAATGTGGGTAGGCAGACAGGCAAACACGGGGGGGAAATCCTAAGCATAATGTAAGGCTTGAGCCTAACATACTTTCCATTTCATTTTAAGACTTTCTTAAAAGACATGACAATATTTGTGAGGAAGATTCAAACTAGTGTGAAGACACGTTCCCTGCAGAGGAAGCAGAATGCAGCTTGTGCAAATGGAGAGGAGGAGGAGGAGGGCAGCAGTAGTGACTGGATGCCAGAGCTGCAATTGCGCTGCATTCGCAAGGCAGGAAGCACCTGAGCTGCCTGCTGGCAACTTGCCTGATCCTAGTCAGTGCTCCGGATCAGACATTCAAGGAACGAGAAGTCACTCCAGGTAGAGAAAAAGCCAGAGCTGAGCTACCAGATAATACAAGCACTCACAGGCTGCTTTTTTTAAACTCTATGAAAGTCAAATGTATGCAGTGTTAGCCACGTAACAGTCTCAGTGCACACACCCATCCCTGTTCCAAGCTTTTCACTGTCAGTGAACTGCTTCCCTGAGCTCCCGATCATGTCTGTACTAGTAACATATGGCTCCAGCATTTTCTGCTTGATGATCCAGAACTATTTAAAAAGGATGTGAAAATTTACCAGAAAAGCCGCTCCCTCAAACAACTTCTGACCTTTCAAGTCTGATCTCGGGTGACTGTAGGACAAGCAGTAATTTTAAAGGGAGAAAAAGAGTAAAAATATTTCTATGATCATCTCAAGATCATAATGAAAACATATTCCAGTTCTTCAGAGCACAGGCTGTCATTTATCATTGCACCTAAAGCAAACCAGGCCAACCTGACTGCAGCCTCTGGACACTCCATTAAATAATGAGTAATACCTGCTTCAGAGTGCCTTAGAGTTTCTGTTCTTTAAGGCAGCAAATGAAATATCCTGATGATACTCAGTTGAAAGCTCATATCCTTCAACTTATTATGGGCTTCTGCTTTTTATATGTGCTAAAATTGATATGTATGTTCAGCCAAGCTCGTGGTTCTCTCATTCTAATGAAAAGCAGCAAACATGAAAAGCGTACAATGAAGGCTCAAGTTAGATCAGGATTTTTGCTGACTGCAGAAAATTAACAGTTAGTCTGAGCTTCACGTATGGGACAAAAAAAAAAAAAAAAGAGTGGTGGGAAAGTTAAGATCATGCATGACTTCTAGAAAACTCGTACAGTGCTTAAAATTGGAACAGCAGCCCCATTCTACCCTCTTGACTGACTTACAGCAGGATCCTTAGTGCAGCAAGAGAATGGCACACCACAGCGCTCGCGACTTGCATTGGAATCTGTGCAATTGAAGTAAATATTAAGGTTCCAGTCATCAGCTCCAAAAGCCCCACAGCACTGCCACTAGAAGAAAAGAAAGGAAAGCTTCTTGACTTTCAGTATAAACAAGTTTCAGCATTAATAATTATCGTTGTCAGTTTTCCTCTAGTTTTCTATAAAGAATCGGAGATTCCTTCTTGTTTCATCAGAGCTGTCTTTTTTTAAAGACTATTTCCAACCCTTAAGTTGTTCCAAAATTACCATGGGGTTAAAGTTGCGTTCATACCCTGCAGTGCTGCTCTTTGGGGAGAAAAGCATGGAACAAGCTGATAAGCCTAAAAGCTCCCAGTTGCAGAGTCCTACAAGCTCAGGCCCAGGGACTAGCACAGCCACAAGTGTGACGTTCTGCCCAGTCTGATGGGCCCTGGGTTCTCAGCAAAACCAGTCAGCACCAAGTGCTCCATTTGCCAGTTTGGAGGAACCTTTGTCAGGCCATCCACGAGACAGCACGAATTCAGTGTTTGCTGCACATCACAGATTATGCAAGTAACACCTTGTTGTGGTTTAACCCAGCAGGAAGCTAAACACCACGCAGCCGTTCACTTACTGAAGGTAAGCAGAATCCTTCAAAAAGTGTAAATACCCCAAATGGCAGACTTAGTCTTTTGTGAAACATGCTGAACATACAAAGAAGGGACCGGAGATCAGTGGAGCACTGACAGTTTACAGCACTCAGGAATCTAGCGCATTTAACCCATCTATGCCAGGTAAATAATAATAAAAATAGTTAATAAATCAAGCTAACTGCACTTTCAAGCGTTGGAACGGAAATTCTCTCTCTGTGGATGTAACACAGGTCCCTCTAATACCAGAAGCATCTTGTCTTCATCTTATCTCTACTAGCTGAAAAAGTGGCTTGCTCTCCAGACTCACGCAGTTCCCGACTTAAGTGTCAGGACTGCTAATCCCGTTAGGAGAGCAGGTTTTATCTAGTGCCAGCCTGCTGCAAAATTGGATTGCAGCCTTTTGGTTGCACACGCATGTAGCAGTGCTTTCAGATTGTGTTGTCCCTCTGACCTTCTCCAAACCAGAAAATATTCAAACCAGCGCAAGGATCCACATCCTGTTACTCGGTCCCTTTCCCCCCAGGGGATATAAAAGCAAATGAAACATCGAATAAATTTATTTGCAGAATAGATAAAAATCAGAGACACGACGATTTCAACCAACACTTAACCGTGTAGCTACACGGGGCCAAATTCAGAGTGAAGTTCATAAGCACATTCCAGAAGTACTGGAGTGAGAACGTATTGGCAAAACCACCTGCACAAACATGTGCATCTCTGGCCTCACTCTTCCTTCCCCCCCAGGTGCAGGTGGGGCATCATTTAGAGATTTCTTGCCAGAACTTTGAGTTTCCCACTTCATTAGGCTAGCTGCATTAAGTCTTGGTAAAGAGAAAGAACCTTGTAGGTTCACTCAGGTCAGCCAAACACCTCTGCCACTCCGCAGTGTGATGTGTGGCACCTCTCATGTTGCTAAAACACCACTGCCATCATCCCAGAGCTGAATGCATGTCACCTGCCACAACACCTAAAATAGCTTTTTAGATACATACAGAATATGCTCCAACAACCTGAACACAAGACTGATGGTAGCTACTCCATCTGACACACTGACTCTGAAAAGCTTCATGAGTAAGTCAGCCCAACTCTCCAACTTAATAGTTTTCAACCAAAACCAACAAACAAGCCACTTCTCACAGGTGCTGTGGGTATGTACAGGTTCTGTAAAGATAACAAGGATTATATATGCTAGAATATTTCTGTTGTTTCTTGAAAAGACCAAACAGATGGGAAGTAAAAAAAAAAGAGAGAGAGAACGTATTTATTTAAAGCAAGCAAGAAAAAATAAACATAGTCCAACTTACATATTCCTGCGTAAAGTCTATGAGGTTTTGCAAATCAATGTCATCTCGGTATGCTCTGATGTTGTTGTTTATAAAGAAATAAAGCTGGTCCTTGATCCAGTCTTTGAAAACAAACGCTAGAACACCAGCAGTGAGCTCCAAGAAGAAAATAATTCCAAGAAACACAGAAAACTATGAAGAAAAAGAAAGAGGTTTGAATTATTTTGCCTTCTGGCCAAAAATTTATTTTTCAAGGCTCCCAATTATATCTGGTGGTAGGGCTTTGTTTCAGTGCAAGCTCAAGCTATTCCGGCACACAATACACTTTAAATTTAAAATACACCATTTTTAATTAGAGCTGTAGTACAGGACTCTTAATTCTATTCTAGCAAATAATAAAAATGCCAATGAATTCAAACTTTGGCACCCAGAGCAGGACATTTCACTGGAATTTCCAAAGAGGCCCAAGGGAGTTCACTGTAAATTTCAACAGAGATGGCCACCTGCCAGGGCTCTCTGAAAACTCATCTTAAATTTCTGTGTAGGCACTCCCATTTTCAAAGGCAAAGAACAAACAATTAAGCCAATGAAATGCTTTCTGAGTGACTTTTTCCTTAGACTTCCTCACTGGTAAAGCTTTGCCTAAGCGGGTAAAGCAAAAAAAAAAAAATTGGTAACAGCAGAAATTAATTAATGATTAAGTCAGAGAGGAATGTCTATGGAATGACTCACATCCACATTAAAACCAAATGAGGCTGTGATGATTAATGCAAATGCAATGGATGCCAAAGGCATTACTAATGATCTGCCACTTTCTCTAAGCATCTCCACTGAGCCCACAGTGTTTTAAACAGACAGGGGTCCTCATCTACTGGAAGTCCATCTCTTTTGCAACTGCCTCTTTAAGTTTCTTTTTAATATGCTCTCTGTGTTTGTTCAGATGCATTTTTAATTTCTCCATCAGCTGCCGTATAGGAAGCTATTTCTGGTACAGCAGATGGGTTCATTTTAGGCAAGCTGAGAGAAGCAAGGCAGAAGAAAAAAAAAAATGTTACAATAGCTTTTCTTTCCTTTTTTTTTTTTTTTTTTTTTTTTAAAGCAAGAGCAAACTAGAACTATCCCAAGCTGCTTTAAAAATGCCTCAAGAATCGTAACTGTCAACCGCCTCCTCCTGCAATACAATGAGTTTGTGGGAGCCAAATCAGGCACTTGAAGGCAGCTGTTTCACTGGAACCCTTTTTGTGTATATCAGCAGTTAATGGCTATGAAAACACAGACTCAAGGTTCACCATGCAGATTCCTAGCTGAAATTTCTCTTGTAGCAGCAGGAAGGCAAAATGTTAGGCTATGTCCACACGAAAAGCTGTAGTTCAGAGAGCAGTACTCTCATCAGGAGCACATCCCGCCCCCCAAAAGGCATTTTAAGGCCTTTACACAGCTAAGCAGGAATACAGAAGGTGACTTACGCCATGTAACCAGTGAGTGCCACAGTTGCAAAGGCTACTTACAAACTTGAGAAGGAAGGTGTTTTCTCGCAAAGCTCCAATGCATCCTGCAAATCCCAAAATGAACATAACTCCTCCTACCACGAGGAAGAGCCAAACTGGATCAAAGCCTCCCAGGTCGGTGATGGAGGAGATGTTGGACAGCACTCCCTGGGAAAGAAACAATGCCAAGGTATAACAGATGTCTTCAAACTTTCTGTTGTACAAATTCGGCTTGCATTTCTCCTTTTTAAAAAGGGAGAGGCATACAGCAAATAAATGTCCTTCAGTACAACAAGAAAACACAATAAGATCTTTGCATCCAATGAAGAGATGAAAAGGGCGAGTAAGTAGAGTATTTCTGAATCAACACCTGGAATGGAAAACAAAACGTGCTTCTAGAGTCTTCTGCAAAAAGCCCACAGGGCATTTTGCTGCATCTGTAGCCAGAAGAATTAGTCTGCCAGAAAGTAAGAATAGACATTCGAATAAAATTTACCTCAATTTTATTACCCATGGGGAGGTATCATATACGTTGTTTATGTAAGCACACAGTTATAAATGTTCTGATAGAAAAATCAGTCAACAGCAAGCACATCTTGAATTTAGCATTTAGGCTCACTACATGCAAGTGACAGAAATTAGAAGTGAGCTCCTAGGTTAACTGCAGCATTTTGCAGCAACAGATTTTGACAAGCTCGATTAAAACTTCAGTCATCTACACATCAAAAAGTCACGATATAAGTATGGCTACTGACTAATCAGTTAGCTGGAAGAAAAACTGAAATTAGTGTTAAGTCTCTTAGAAGGACAGAAGGCAGTTCAAGGACTTGTCTTAGGAGGCGGTTTGCACTAGCTTAGGTCATACCTATCATATGGTAGATTACATATGCTGTATTTTAGATATGACAGTCAGCACGGTCTGCTTGTAATGCCATTGCCTCCTCAGAAATGGAGCTTGGGTTGCGACGCCAGTAGTCCCAAGGAACTATTTTATTTTTCTGAACACATTTTAACCAGAGTTTGGCTGATGTTGAACAGATGGGTCACGTCAAGGAGCAAACACAAAGTTTTCCTTATTCCAGTGAGCTTGCACAGGAACAGTTACAATTTCCCAAAGCTTTTTGGCAGCAAAAAAGCTGAAGTATCACTATTTCTTCATTCAACTCCCTGGTGCCGTAGGTCGATGCAAAGCACGCTGCTGTAGTGGACGTTTCTCCATGTATTCTCTCAGAGAAGCCTGAGCCCACGCTGAGTGCTTTGGACTACTTTTCTCTCTGTTAACTCCTGAATGAGCTGTGGTTTGAAAAGCAACAACACAAACCTTCTCCTCTACAGCTCTGTATCTGCAGATTTATTCTCAAGTACTTCATCCTTTTTCTTGTTCCTGTCCGTACTCCCTTTGCTTCTTTGAAAGGCTCCCACAACAGCTATAGTTCTGAAGGATGTTATCACAGCATCATTTCCAAAAGTCATTAGTAACATTGTTAACAGCTAACAACTGTGGCTTTGGATCTGTGATATTTTTTTTATACTCAATTTGGACCACCCATAGCATGTAAATAGTGATATACCCGCTATCTCTAATACAGCACTCCACAGTCTGCAACCACGTCCGTAATTGCCCACGCAAAACTGACAGTGAGTAAATAGCAAATGAAGGCTGTCTCTTTTTTATTTTATTTCTGAAGATCATGATAGACTGGAAAAAAATAGGCACCTGCATTTCTCCCATGCACACAGCAAGGACCCGTGGAAAAGGCTGGCACGCTAGAAGAAAAAAATAGAGCACAGCCTAACCCCACGTTACAAACAACAAACCACAACATCAGCGATGTCCTCTCCCTCCTCCTACAGGTAGCTGCTGCCCGACAGAGGGACACAAAACGAATCGCATTCATGCTTTACTCCAACCTTATATCACAGAATCACAGAATTTCTAGGTTGGAAGAGACTATGTAGTATTAGTCTTGTTTTCATTCATTATATAGACCAAAATAGACAAAAGGCATAACTAACACAATGCTGCTCAGAGGCAGTGTGCAAACAGACCCGTTGGCATGGCCCCTTTTCTAAGCAGCTAGTGATGAGGTGGTACAAGCCAGGCTGAACTCAACTTTTATCAGTCATTAACACTAAATCAACTCATGCAGAAGTCTTCCACTACCGTTGCTTCATTACATATGCCACAGAAAAGGAATCAAAGGCATAACTTCCTGGTGAAGAATAACAAACATTAAGCAGTATAATCTAACACACAAAGCTCCAAAAAAGGCACAGCCTTGGACATATGCAAGTCAGGAGACACAAGCTCTGCCCCAGGGAAAAGGTCTGCTGTAACGACTTCTAACCAAATTTCAAAGTCCTCTCTCTGTTTTCTCTTTTTGCATAAGATGAGAAGAAATTATGCCTTAAGCAAAAACTACTACTCATTTCTTTCAACGTTAGCTCATTTTGTGAATTAATGCACTATAATGTAGCAGAATGTGAAAACAGCCACTGGAGAAAGGATGTTGCCTTTGTATTGCAATTATTGTACTCCAAAAAATCCAGAAGGACGAGCAGTCATTTAAGCCTCTCTTCGTCAGATACTTTGTCTTGCTTAAAAACCAGCAAATTAGTACGTCCAATCAAGTTCTTTCCATATGAAAGTAGAATTCAAATGCAAGATGAAATCCAAGCGAAATTCAGCTCACACTTGGAGACACTGCCCTTAGAGAATCTAGTCCTGATATAAGGAAGTGTTAGTAAGAAGAAATAGACCAAATTTGTATTGTCACGCTCAATGATGACAAAATTTAGCAAACCAGTTGTATTTATATTCCCTTTCTGATCGTGCCCTTTCCCACCTTACTTGATTTTCTACCACTGCCAGGCTCTTGCCACCCTGGCGTGCCACAAGCAGGCAGCCCCCTGGCAAAAGTCACTCATCACGTCTGTGGTCTCCTCCCAGCTCTGACTCCTCAGGATGCTCTCATCTGACAAGCACCGAAGGAGAACAATGTGAGCTTTATCTGCTGTAGTTTGCTGTCCTTGGAGAGCACCTTTATGTGCATCTTTTGCTAGTCTGCATATGGCAATCATCAGCCTAGCCTGGATAAACCCCAAGTAATACATCCTGACAGCACAAAGCGTACACCGCGTAATTCTCGTTTGTACTGTGTGCTCTCTGCATACGAATTCTAAGTTATCAGTATTCTGGAGAGACACCTCAGGATATACAGTCTTCAGAGAGGCTTTGGCAATAAAACAATAGCTAGCAGCAGGAATGACAAACACAGATAATGCTCTGTGGTTACAGCTAGACATGCACAGAGGTAGTCTGATAGAAGATTGCTGCTTACTGCTGAAATACGGTTCAGTCATCTTCCAGATTTGCTTTTTTTTTCTGGACACTTACACGTAAGCTCTCCAAGGAGAAACAGCAGTGCAATACTTTAAAGAAAAGCGTATTTTGCTCCGAGCAGCAGGGCAACGACTGAGGAACATTATTTCATTTTATACTGCTAAACTGAACTGGATGTATGCTCCTACAGGCGCATGCTCTTCCTACCCACTGCAGGTTCCTGTAATGCCTTTTACCACAGTATTCAGGCTTTTGCTGTTGTTGTGGCTGACTTCTGGGCAAAGTTTGGCAGAGATGCACAGTGATCTGGTAGTGGCCAATTCTGTCTTTATCCCATCTTTAGCCTACCGGTCATTCATGTAACCAGCTCATCTCTTACAGGGATGCAATTCCTGAACAGACTGCCCGTAAATCCTTTAAAGTTGGGCTTTCTACACATACAAAGGATTTTTCTCAGCAACACTACTGCAGTAGTCCAATCTTTACTGCTAAATAGTTGCACTTACTCCTGATATAAATGAAGGAAATCTTTTTTCTTAAACCTATATTCATAATTCAGAGGTATGGTCATTTTTCTGGGCACTTTCTTGGTAGTTTAGACACAAGCATTATCTTTATATGGTTACTTTCCTTCTCACAATGGCATCAATCCAGGGCTCTGCTGTAGCCCCACAAGGGGAACCAGCAGGACATGTCCCCTGGCTGATCTCCAGCTCATCTGCTTGCTCTGTTCCCCCAGCCTCAATTGCCTGCTGTACACTTGAGCACCTGGGTTTTTATTTAACTTTTTCATCCACCACAAGTCAAAAATTTGTTTGGGGTTGTGAAGGGACAAAATCATCATCCGTAACTGAGCTAAAATCGGTGATGGTGAAGTTACGAATAAAGTTCTTTTACCTGTGAAGCGGATTTGATTGCAGTCACTAGGATAGCACGAGACAGGAGCACAACAGAAAAGACCAATCTCATACTCCTGCCACACACCAGCTCAGGAGAAAAGCCAAGTGAAACAGCAGGACCTGCTCCTTTCCCAGCAAAGGAGTGGCAGGAGCAGCAGTGGTGGTGCCTTCTGCCACACCAACAAACACCAGCTGGCCGAGCCAGGCCTCTTGGAAGATCTTGCAAAACTGCAGTCACCTTCCTAAGGTGACTTCTTCCCATGTCCACAGATCTACATTAGCATTTTAGGTGAGCTCCTTTAAAGGGTCTCCCCACGAGCTATGCTTCAGTTCACATCAGGTAACAGTCTCAGAGCACACAAACTAGGTTACTTACAAAGGAAGACGTGCCCCTGGAATATATAATCCACGTTCTCCGCCAACAACAGGCATTCAGCCCATGGGATTGCACTAGAGATGGACTGAAGAAAACAGCAGCACACGGCTTCGAGCAGAAGCACTACAGACAGCAGCAGCTCTGGAAAGCTGACCCAGTAATGAAAATTCGAGATATCTGGAGTCAGAGACAACTTAGGAGAATAATTGTTGTAGGGAACAAAGAGGTGATAACACTGTGAAAGTACACTTCGGCCCACCAGGGTGAATGTGAAAGAACAGGACTCAACAGTCCCCATGAAAAACAACAACACAGCAGGCTATTAAAAAGGAGAAGCCAACACAAGGAGGATGAAAGAAATCGCAGGAAACAACAACAAAAAAAATAAGACAGGAAAAAAAAAAGCCACTAAACATTTCTGCTGCAGAATTCTACTTCTGGGGTAAAAAATAAAATGGTCAGAAGAAAGATTCAGCAATATGAGACCTTCAGAAACATTTCTTCTCTGCAGGCCGAGGATTAACCTTCCCACAAGCTTGTCTGCAGGACTTAGAAACACTGGCAAACAGGAACATACGAGAGTGATGGGAAATAAAAGTATTTCCAAATGTATTATTTTAAAATGGAAAAATGTCTACTTTCCTAGTCATAAAATTCATGCCGTTCCTCCATGCTGCGCATCTGAATGAGCGTGAGGAACAGAACAATAGCCATTGAAACATGCCAAATTAATTCCACTCCAGAATTTTGTCTTTGCGAGAGAGAAACGAGGTGGGGGATGTTTACAAAACTTATTTCCTTGATTTTTGTTGGTTTTGCATTTCCACAGCAAACAGTAACAGCAGCAGAACTTTATTTTCCAAGCTCCTAATGAAGGAGAATTAACCGCCTTGTCAGGGCAAGGCAGAGTTCAATAGGCAAATGACTGGCATAAACACATTAGAGATACAGATTTTTGCCTTTTTCAAGATTAATGGTTACAAGATCTTGGAACATTAGTAAACAATTTAAGGGCCTCTTTAGATAATGCATCTTTAGGTACTGAAATTTAAATTAAAGGCAACAGAGAGTATTAATATACCCTTCTGTCCTTCCCAGTCATGTAAAAACCACAGAAGCAAGAAATACGCTTTGAGTACCCTTCAGCTTGTGAGGACCCACAGGACATGAACAGTGTTTTGCTGTCAGCAACTGGTTTTTTTTTTTAGAAGAGCTAAATAATGGACATGCATGAGCAACAACTATGGAGCGACTGCTGTATCACTCCCTCTTGACGTTTGCCCCTTACTGAGACAGTAAAGAGCAGCAAGAATTCCTTCTTGAAAAAAGAAAAAAAAAAGAAAAAAAAAAACTGTAGTTTTAATTTCAGGGCAATGGGGAGGCAGATTTGGCCTGACAATGGCTGTTTCTATGTAGGGAGTTTAGCCTGTCCTAGAGCACCAAAGCCAGTCTCAATGACATGTAAAAGTCCAGCTTAAACCTTGAAATCCAGATCTGGAGCTCCTGCTCACCAAGAAAACTGTGCAGGCACACAGAAGTACCATACTGGTGCTCCAAATCACACAGCCTGCCTTCTGAGTTGGAGTATTTTCTAGTTATGCTTATTTAATCACGAAAAGCCTTCAAACCATATTTATGCACGTGGTCAGCCTCCTCCACTTCTCCCTCCTCATTTCAGACAACTTTATATGGGAACTAAGTCTGACAAATTCTGCAAGGATCTGTATGTTTTTTCCCCACCTTAGCATCTCTACCTTTACAACCTGCTGCCTAGTGCAGACCCCTAAACTTTTCTCCTAAAAGCTCCCACTCCACAGATGGTCCCGTAAGGTGTCAGAAGACAGATGAGCAATTCATAGTTCATTCTCACTGCACTTGCATATAACTCTGCTGCAGGTAGGAGAACCTGGAAGTTTGTTTTCCCAAGTACCTACTGGCATCATACCATGAACACTCTCAATGAGCCTTAAGACCACATTATTTAACATAATACAACCAAGGGGGGAAGTAGACATTTTGTACAATGTTAATTGATTTTTAAAAAGTCACCAGAAAAAAAAAAATGCTTAAAGTGCTTTAAAAAAAAGTCAGTGAAACTTTTTTCCACCTGCTACTGAGTAAATGTAGCTTAAGTTGCTCGGGCTTACCACAAGCTCTTTAGTACACACTCTTTCTGTGCTAACAATATTCGTGCTACTAGTTGGGTGTGGGGGGGAAATAAAACCAGCTGCTGTGGATTACTTTTGTTTTTTCAATGGTGCAAGCCCAACTGCAGCGTGCCTGAAAACACTGTGAGACTGTGAGCTATATAGTGCATCCATGTATAGATAGCTTTATTCATGCCCCGAGTTTATTGCCCCCCCCAGCTCTCTGCCAGGTTCATGACTCAGAATGCTAATTGCCCAGTTTTTGTTTAGGCCTGGCCGCCTGGCTGTCAGGCCAATTCTGCTGCCTGGTTGACAAATGAGCTCTTTCGCCTCCCTGCAAAGGAAGGTCACGAGACTGTACAGTGTATTTTTTTTTCTTTTTTCTTTCTTTTTTCTTTAAAACAAAGTTTAAAGGGGGGAATTCAAGCCAACCTAGCTAAGAGAAACCAGCCACCATATCCACAGATCTACCACAAGCCGTTCTTACCCAGCAGCAAACAGGACTTCTGTAAAACGTGGCCTACTTCATTACATCCTGCATTTTTAACATGGCCTTGTACACGATCTTTCTATCCTAAAAAAGATTCTTTGACACAGCAAAAGTATATGCAACTTGATGGCCAGGATATGGAGCAATACAGCTGGATATAAAGCCAGATGACTCACGACAGAAATAACATCCTCTCCACCATCGTACGAGCTCTAAGTGTAGAAGCCCTTCTGAAGACCCAATCCTGAAGATCCCTTGCTGAGATCTCCCTGAGACTCCTCTTCTCCAGGCACAGCAGTCCCAGCTCTATCAGCTCCAGTTTCTTCGTTATCTTCATGACCCTCTGCTGGTCTCTCTCACGGTGGGGAGCCCAGAAGAGGACCCAGCTCTCCAGGTGTGGCCTCACCAGCGCTGAGCAGAGGCCAGCAATTGTTTGCCTAACGTGGGCCAGGATGCCAGCAGCTAGCTCACGGTCAACCAGGAGCCCACCAGGATCTATAGGTCCTTTTCTGCAAAGCTGATTCACTGTCTTACAGTAGGCCATGACAGCAGACCAGAATGGCCAAGAGGCACACGAGCAAGAACAACTCCACAGGGGCAGTAACTGCTCTGCCCCCCTGCAGCTCCATGAGGCCTACGGCTACCTGGCACTCGGCCCTGCAGCTTTTGGCCTGGCCACGTACTGTCCCTCAGAGAGCTGCATGAAGAAAAGGTCCCGAATTGGCTTTGCCACAGGGCCACGCTTCCATAATTCCTGCTACAAAAAAAAAAAAAAAATCAAGCCTCTCTATGCTCACGAGCATTGCAGTTCTTCTGTACCTATACCGCATTTTGATTGATGAGACCACAAACTGAAGCAGTATACACTAAGCACCACAGGGCAGCAGTTGGGGAGAGATGATGCTCATTTTCAAGGAAAGACCTTTGCTTTAGAGCAAGAAACAGCATTTTATTTATTCATTTATACATGAAAACCTACCGCATATGGAGCCTGAGCTGATGCCTATTAAACTGCAATAGGTTTTATTTGCTTGTCTTAAAAACAACATGACATTTCTTCCCTCTTGCAGGATCTGACTACTGAGTGTTTAAGATGGCACGATAACAGATGTCCAGATCTCAAGTAAAAACATGAGCTTTGGCTTCTGGTTATTAACAATTATGAACCCAAAGCATTTTTACTTGGAAGTGGAGGCGTTTTCGCATACAGAAGATATGTAAAACCTAACAAGCCATCTTTCTGCTCAAACAACCTCAAGCTGTAGGGGTGGTGTATTTTAGACTACACAAACTAGACTATAGCTCATTTCTCTTTACATGCTCATTTATTCTAAACAGGAATCATTTGTGTTACCACTGGAACGATATAAAAACATCAAAAACTTGCCTGGGAAGCCACTCTGAAATAAAGTACTTCTCTGAGGCTTAAACATCAGCATCATAAGCTCTGTGAGTATGCTCAGAGAATTAAATTAAACATGTTTTTATATTTTGCTGAGTGACAGCACTCTTTTTCCAAGCCTATTCAAGCCATCCAACATGAGCATCATATAGTAGGTAAATACACATGTATACACATACATACACATTATATATACAAACACAAACTTGTATATATGGGTGTATACAGTGCAAGTTAGTTAATACCCTATTACTAGCCCTGAGAATACTCTTTGTAATTATCAGTAACCAAGGCACATTCACAGAGCAATTAGATTTTAAGTCAATAACTCACTTCTGAATCAGCAAAATTTGTCCTGCGTTTAAGTGGCAAAACTCCAATGTTTCCAATGTGTTGTTTTGTTCTGCTGCAAGCACCAGTTATGCCTGAAGTGAACATCACTTTGGAACTTACTTTGTTTTCCATCAGAAAAGAAAAACATTATGTAACTAAATATCATAGTACCATTGCTATCAACCATGTCTCATTATTTTCAACTTGGCTTTTTAAACGAAGAAGAAAAGGAAACTCCTGGCTTTAATTTCAGCTGATATATTATGGCCAAGCTCTTCATTCAGTAACCCAGTACATACTGACTTGTTTTGTATATTACGCTTTGATATTTTATCTTCTTCCCAAGTTCTGCAGCAAGCAAGCTAAATATTAGGCTCTGGTTCACAAGTGGGATCTCTCTCCCCACCCTTATTTCCCCTTCTTCTCATTTCCAAGTTGCTTTTACAGCCTCGAAACAGAAAGCCAGTGGACAAATTCATTTGCGTAAGGAAAACCAATTGTTTTGTCTCAGGTTTGGTTTTCTGTTCCTTAAGAGGAGTAGCAGCTAGCCTGCTACGTTCAGCAAGGAGGCTGGAGAGGCTCGCTTTCAAGAAGCTGCCCCCTGAGAGGCGCAGGCTCCCTCTCCCTTCCCGGGGCCACGTGCAGCAGGGCCGTGCTGCCAACACCGCCTTCAGCAGAGCGATCCAGCGCCTGTGCTGCCGCTGGAGCGTGCATGGGTTGCAATGGTTATTTTATGTGCAAGTGTCAGCCATGATTCCTTGCCAAAGCGTTCTCAGGAAAAATGCCAAGGATCTTCCTTTAGGTGAGCCAAGCCAAGGTTTTATTTGACAGAGAAGCTTGATTTTGTTTCAGGAGAAACTGTGTGGACACACAAAACGTGCAGCATACTGCTATTCCAGTATTTCACCAGAAAAAAAAAGAAATAAGGTGAGTCTGATGCCACATTCAACTTACCTTTTCATTCCATGCCCACAATCCAATGCCAAGAAATGCTATGCCAAGGAACTAAAGAGAAAAATAAAAATAAAAAAATATCAGAATAGGAACTACAAATTTATAGATTTATTTATTTAAACATTCATATTACCTCATCCTTTATGTTGGAAAATCAATTTTATCAGGACTTTGGGAGCTTAGCAAGAGTTTTAAAATATGCATACAGTGTGTTTTTTTTTTAATTTATTTTACAACTCAACCAGTAAAACTGAGGGGACTTTCAAGGTTGCACAGCTCATTCAGGGATGTTCTACATACAAATAGTAGATACAATAAATGTCACTTTCACAGCATCACTCAAATAAGGCTTCTTGGCTTGTCAGACTGCCCCAAGGCAAACTTCACAAGCAAGCAACACGTTATTTTGCTGTTGTATTATCCACCACACGCACAGAACAACAGTCCTCACACCTCTCACAGACCACTCACTAAGAGAAGGGGATTAAAAGAGAGCCTCAATATACTTTTACTATCTGTTTTAGCAATATTATCCAGAGACATAGAAAGATGTTTAAACATAATATAACAGGGTTTAGGGAAGGGGGAGGTGAGGGGATTGACTTTACAGGTCTGAAAGAGTAAGAATTTTTAAAAACTAAAGCCAACATTTACTAACCCTTTTCATACTGAACATTTCTGTATTTCATAAAGGAATGCATGAAAAACCTTCCTTTCTCCACCAAGGGATTCAAAAGTAGCAAACTCAGAGAAGAAAATGCCTTCCAACAATGACGGGAAAGGGGCGCAGTATCTAGGTTTGCTACATCCCCGTATTCTCCAGTCCACTAAATAATTTAAGTGTATCCTTGCCCTCCACATACTACAGGATTTCCATACAAAATCCACACAAAGCATCTGTGAAACAAGCAGAAAAGGCAGACTCCACCTCTTGACACCACCACTGTATATTTGGCGTGATACGGTACCAATCATACAGAGTACTGAAAAAAACATATACCGGGAGGGTAAGCACATCTCTAAACATCCACCTGTCCAACTTTAATCCCTGGTTTTTAAAACCGAAGTGCTAGCTAAAAAGAAAATTACACACACTCTCATTTCAGGGCATGTAATTGAATGGTGCTTGAACATCAAACTTGTTTTTCCTTGTGGTTTCTGGACAACACAGCGCACAGATTTACTTTGGCACGTAGCACGTTTTCTCTTAAGATCTGCATAAACAGCTAAGTATCCTAACGATTTTTCTTTGTAAAACAGGACAGAAATGTTTTTCTGTTTAGAAGTGGGAGGAGGCAGGAATATCAACTTTAAAAGCTTTCCCAGAAGTGATTTCACCAGCTTCAAAGCAAGATTCCTTCTTTGTTATCTACGCTAACTTTAAGTGGCAGTTCTAGCTTCCATACCACAGGAATTTCCATACAGCATAACTCAGCATCAAGGGGATTACATCCTCACTGCAATACCCTGAAGTCCCCCAATACCCCTCATATCTCTGTGATATCTCCTGCAAGCGTGCTCTGCCTGCCCAGCACTGCTACACACCGCCAGCTCACCCAGAAGCACATCTATGCTAACTGGAGCGACGCTCTCCTTTTTGACTCGAAGAGTCACGATGGCAAATTTAAACAATACTACAAGGCAGCAAGGGATCCGTCACAAGCTTGGCTGTATTAAAGACAAGGAGAATTGAAAATGTTCTTGAATAGAAAAACAGGTCAAGAAAGTCTGCAATTTCAGCAGCCTTAATTGTCTATAAAATATAAAAAATGGATTAGAAAGTACAGTCTCCTGCGGTACACCACGTGAGCAGGAAAAGGTTATCTTACCTGCATCAGGACTGTTCTTTCTCTGTGGTCGCACAGCTTGCCAGAAGTGTGTATAATCCTTCTGACTGGGCTGCTTATTTGAAACTTGACAAGATTAAGCTGCACAAGTTTCCAAATCACTTTCAGACAAATGCAGTTAAGTTCTCTCTCTTTTTTTTTTTTTTTTTGCCATATCAAGCTCCTTTCCTTCTCTCTTACACAGCCAAAAGTAGCAAGGATGAAGGAACGGGAGTGGGGTAAAAGAAAAGTTATTTTAAAAAAAAATCCATAATTGCATTTGGAAGCAGAGAATTTTTACTTCTAGAGAGACACAAAGCACTATGTTTTGCAAGGAGCTTAACATAGTTTTGAACTGAGTGAGCATAGAAAAATAAAAAAGAATTTGATCAGTGCACACATACGTAACTTAACAGCCATACACATCAGCTGCAAGTCTGTCTCAGATCTACCAGCTTTATTAAATTCAATCCAGTTGAGTGTTCTTATTCTTCAGCAGCTGTTGAGAGATACAGGGATAAGGTATTACCTCACAGGTTGCTGAAGGTAACTTATAGTAGACTATATGGGTCTCAAGCCAGACTGATCTCGTTACTCAATCTGTAAACTGAGAGGAGAATGTACAATGCTAAGCTGAAGCACCTAAAAAAACTGAGATTGTCAAGCTTCTGGCAAGCCTGTTAACAAAACCCAGGAAATTGATTCTCTTGAAAACTCTCCAAGAGGACTCACAGATTTACTTGCTGCTCTGTCCTCTTCATATTCCAAAACAGAAATCTCTGTCCAGTTGCCTTTTGAGCAGCTGGTGAAAAAGGAACAATGGTCAAGACCCATTAGGAGAAGAAAAGGGTTGGGCTGGGAACATGAAACGGGATGCTGTACAAGTCAAACACTTCCTGGCATCCAGAACACAGGGTTAGATAAATTAATGGAGGATCCACAGCTAACAAAGAGTGACTTTGACATAGCTTCTGGCTCAGAGAGTTTTCAAACCATCAATTAGCAGGAGAAAATAAGCAGGAAGAGATCACTGTATGGATGCTTTGTTGCTTGAATGCCTCCTTCCCTAGCCAAACTCTACTTGCACCATTTAAACCAAGATACTGAGCTAGGCATGCTGCCGACCTAACCCCCTAGGATTGCTCCCAAGCAATGCCCACCCCTGCACAACCAGCCTGCTGTAGGGCGAAGCTCCGAGGAATGCTCTCGGTAATCCCATCTGGCACGAGAGAGATGTTCACCAGGAGACCTCTCCCCAGGATTAACTCCGGCATCTCTTGACAATTAGAAAAAACTTTTGTGTAGCCTAAGAGAAGCAGAAAGTGCTTAGCAAAAACGCAGGGGGATTTTTGCTGTTAGAGGCAGAGGCAAAGCAGGATGTATATCCTGCTTATCTTGTAATCCCTCTGCAGATGGCTCCGAGAAGGCCTTATTCTGCTTGCCTGCAACCAGAAGGAAAACTTCTTCACATCCTAAGCACGTGAGGAGAGGATGACAAGTATCCACATCTTCTCGGTTAAGTCTGGAAAATTTCATTCACATCCTTTAAATTATTCCAATGAGTAATAAAAAGGTGGAAGTTGGCCTCGTTATCTACTAAACAATATATACAGACAAAGATGGCCTCAATTCTCCACAGACATCCAGTAAGACCATTTCGCCTGCCTGTAAATGGTCACCGGATCTGGGACAGAGCTTGTAAAACCTTGATTTTTTTTTTTATAAACAGCAATTTGCAAGAGAACATTAAAATATTCCTCCAGAGTATTACAGCGTTACAAAAAACTTGCACAATAGTACTTTTTGAGCCATAGGCTTTCAGTCTGTAAACATCAAATAAATGTGTTTAGATTCCTCTTCTATAAGGAGCGTGGGTATTTAAGAGCAGAAAGTGTAGCAATACTTGTGCTGTTGCCCTACTTACAGAGTTTATGTGCAGTTTTCAGAAGTGGATTGATGGATAAGTGTTTCAAGATGCATATATCTTATTCCCAGTCTTGCCTGCATGGAAGTAAATGACTCTTAGTTGCTAGGGATACAGAACGGCATTTCATCTAAAGGATGCTGAGGTAAATAGCAATGTAAATACTCGATACCATTTTAGAGGGAGATGAGCTTAAGCAGAGCCATCAGGCGGTGCCTCGTATAGCGAACGTTTCATTGCAGCTGACATTCTTAAGTAACCTGGCACCAGGTTTCAACCAAACGCCCGACAGCTGCAGACCGAGCAGCAAAAAGGTCTGTTACTCTGCCATGTGCATAAACCAGCGTAGGTCTGCGTGTGAACGTGTTGGTGAAGAGTTGAGCAGGGAAGCGCTACGGCACAGCTGCCTGAGATTTCCCTTCCCCACCTCATTACGCACGCACTAGCAGGAACACGTCAAACTTGTGAAAGTTCAGAACCAGAACTTCCTCAAGATAGTGTTTTTTATTATTATTATTATGTTTTTAAGCCCTGTGTTGAGGCAGCATGTAGATCTGCCAGCTGCCCCAAGAGCTGCGTGCAGCATTAGAGAGAAAACTCAGGGTCCTACAGCTGGTTCAGCGCCTCTTCCCCGCAGGATCCTGCAGCAACCCACACAGCAGGACCTCCTCCTGCGTGGCTCAAGCCAGCACAGCGAGGGAAAGCAGGGTGCACCGTCTTACTGACAAACACAGCAGTGATCGGGACAACACGGAGAGTAATATTTCACATCCTGAAACGTAAGCAGGGAAGCACAGGGCTTCTGAGCCCTGCACGTATATAAAAGCAGCACTGACAAGTTCCTAAATGGCTCTAAAACCCCAGTGAACCCCTTTTTTCCTCCTCTCCAGTTCCAGCAATGTTTCCATTCCCAACACGAACAGGTACAGCATCTCATTTCCAGGTGGCTAAACACACACCGTGACTATGGGAAAGGCAAACTGCTCAAAATGTACGTACACGCTGACATATTTATGGTAATGCTTACAAAGAACGTGCTCACCTAAAGCCCATTTCTTGTTTGCTTTGAGACATTACCAGCAAGAAAACTCAATGTACTACAGCTGGTGAATGAAGATGCTGCGTAGGTGACTAATTACCATTTTGGTTCAAAGCGGCGTTCGGATATAGACTGAACATAGATTAAAAGACGTCAAATTCCTTTCTATGTTCAGCTTTTAAAAATACATTAAACTACATTTCACAGATTACTGTCCCTGTGATACCTGTTTCCTCCCAACGCATACATGGAGAAGAGACAA